CGTGTCACGTTATAGTGATTTTGAATTTTTTTATTTAAAATTAAAAATAAAAAAAATATTAATTTATGCCCAATGAATTGTGACCGGCCAACCATCCATGACAAAAATCCTCATACTTTCGCAACCGATCGAACACCAAATCCCCATAAATCTATAAATTCCTAAACATAAGGGTTTCAAAACCCTAAAATGAAATCTTTTATCTACATCGCTTTTGGGTGTTCGATCAGTTGCGAAAGTATGAAGTTTTGATCGTGGTTAGTTGATCAGTCACACGTCGTTGGGTGTTTGACCAATTAACGACGTTGGTGATGGCCGACAGGGGCAACAAGATTAAATTTAAAGTTTCAAAAATTTTGAGTTTTTTTTTTTAAATTTGAAGATGTTTTTTAATATATATTTTATTTTAAATAAAAAAATTAAAATTACCAGAACGTGACACGTATCATTTAACGGATATTTTATACGGTTGTTAACACTCGAGCACTAATGCAACAAATCAACTGAGAAGTGCTCTACTCGACAATATGAGCAACCGATCTATTTATGTTTGATAGGTGTTAAATTATGGATTTTAAAAGGATAAAATACAATTCTATGATTTGTACCAGTTTGTAAGTAATTTTTAATGGAATAAAAAAAATCCTCATTTCAAGGGTTAAAAGATAATTTACCATTAGTTTAACTTTATAACATAGATTTCTTAAAGGACTAAATATAAATTTTAACCATTTAAGGTTGATGGCCACCACCACCCCTAGGGGTGTAAATTAGAAATACATTTTCAATTTTTTAAGAAAAAAATGAAGGAGAGGGAGTTGCAGAAGTCAAAGAAAGTACTGATAAAGTCAACTAAAATTCTAGTAACGAAGATCTTACCAAAAGAAAAAGAGAAAAATGAGACAAGTATAAATAAAATAAGGAAATGACCATCCAGCTCAGTTGGTAGAGCACAAGATTTTTAACCTTGAGGTCGTGGGATCGAGTTTCACGGAGGGCATTTCATAATTTGGAGGTCTCTTACGGAAGCTGCTCTCAACCTGGTGTTAGGGGTAGCCTACTATCTTACCTTCCCCTTACCTCATACATATGAGAAAAAGGGACAGCCATTTATATGAGAACTCTTACAATCAGAGAAAAATCTTACCAACCCAACAATGAGAACTCTTACAATCAGAGAAAAATCTTACCAACCCAACAATGAGAACTCTTATAAAGAGATTAACGAAAGCTTAGGATTTGATAAAAATCTTAAAACGTTTAGGGTTTGATAAATCTCGTAAAAAAGGAAGGAATGAAGCTCGAAAGATATGAACGGCTGGAAAGAGAAAATATAGGATAAGGAAAAGGGTTTTTGTGTTATAATTATGAAAATTGGTAAATTACACGAGCTTATTCATAGTTTAAACTCTAAATTTTATAATGTATTCAATTTAGTATGTACCTTCACTATCATTTAAAATATAAAAAATTAAACGAGCTTGTTCATGAACTTATGAACGAGCTTGCTCATGAACCTATAAACGACCTTGTTTGTGATCATAAACTAATCGAATACACCCCTGTTCGTGTTCATTTGATTATTAAACTAACATAAAAATGTTGTTCGTACTTGTTTACTTAACTTAATAATCAAACATAAACGAACATTATACAAACAATTCACTAAATCCTATTTTCTTTTAGACCCTATCTACAAGACTCAAGTTCAATACTTTGTAATTTGCAAATTTTGGTTTCCTCCCTTTTTATTCTTAAACCCATCATACGATGACATTTGTTATCGTTTAATTAGTCCTAATTAATGTGGTGTTGTGATGTAGTGTGTTGCACATGTGTCGAAATGATATGTTATCATGTGTATGAATATTTGTTGACATGATATTTTTTAATGACGTGGCATGTTGATATGGATATCCCACGTCATTATTTTGTCCACTTGTACATACAATCAGCTTCATGTATTGATCGTTTATTGATTAGGGGTTTCCATCAATGTAGAATTTTTTTTGTCTCAAAATGAAATATTAGAGGACAAAATAACTATATAGTCAAGCATTAAGTATTATTTTGTCATTATGCCTAAAAAAAGTAAAAAAATATATCTTTATCGATACAAAATTTTAAATTTAGATATGAAAATTTATTTATTTTATTTGTATATGTAAATAAGAGAGAAAGTTTTTATGTTTATTTTTCTTTCCAGTTGATCAGAGTCCATTTTTGTTTTTAATTAATCTGAGGTAAATACAATATAATATATATTAAAGGATAATTCTAAACCTGTTGACATTAAACGTTCATATCCTTAATATTTATATTCAAACATAAACAAACGTTATACAAACAATTCACTAAACCCTATGTTCTTTTAGACCCTATAGACAAGACTCAAGTTCAATACTTTGTAATTTGCAAATTATGGTTTCCTCCCTTTTTATTCTTAAACCCATCATATGATGACATTTGTTATCGTTTGATTAGTCCTAATTAATGTAATTAAAAATAATCATATAAAATTAAATTAAATTTAAAAATATTGATGTGGTGTGGTGATGTGGCGTGTTGCACGTGTCGAAATGGTATGTTATCATGTGTATGAATATTTGTTAACATGATATTTTTTAATAACGTGGCACGATGATATGAATATCCAACGTCAGTATTTTGTCCACATGTACATGCAATCAGCTTCATGTATTGACTGTTTATTGATTAGGAGTTTTTATCTATGTAGAATTTTTTTGTCTCAAAATAAAATGTTAGAGGACAAAATAACCATATAGTCAAACATTAAGTATTATTTTTGTAATTATTTATTTTATTTGTATACGTAAAAAAGAGAGAAAGGTTTCATGTTTATTTTTCTTTCCAGTTAATCTGAGTTCATTTTTGTTTTTAATTAATCTGAAATAAATAAATGTAATATATATTCAAGAATAATTCTAAATATGTTAACATTAAACGTTCACATCCTTAATATTTATGGTATTCACATCTAAGATCTCAAATAATTATAATAATTATTTTATTCCCAACGTCGCTTTATTTGTGTCCTAATTTAAGCTCATTATCGTTAAAAAAAAAACTAGAGCTCAATTGCAGGCCCACTTCAATTAAACCGACTTAAAAATAAAGTATCCAACGGTTATCTTGAAATCGAACTTGGCGAGTGGGTTAATATCATTACTGTTCAAAACGGAAGTACATCTTCTCTCTTTCTCTCTCTCTCTCTATATATTGTGTATTTGATTCATGTTAATAATTTTCTTGGAATATGATACGAGCGACATGTTTATTTGTTTGGTTTTTTGTGTCCTTACGAGGGAAGAGCGCGATACTAACTGCTTTATTTATAACGTTTGGCAGCCGCGCTAGAGAAACTCAAAGGGCTTCGGAGTTGAAGGAATTTATAAAAACTGGTTGCAGGTTTATTCTTCTTATTATTCTTTTTCTTTTAATTGTTTGGTTTAGTGACGGGTAATCTGTTTGATATATCTGATATCTATCTTAATTCTCATTATGCTATTGTTCAAGTGGATATTAAAAATGAAGGAGTTGATTCATTTAAGCCAGATAATTTCGGTGATACCATTATTATAGAACGCAGGATTATTGACTCTACTAGCTCCCCTGTTTTGAAAGATTGTCATGGCTTGAATCATCTTCTTCCGAATTTGCTTTAATGTCCAACGGTCTATCTGATTACTTCTGAATGACGTGTTTTTTTATAACAAAAAACAAACAAAATTTTTTTCATGTGCAATTTTTGTGGAGAGTAGTTTTGACATATGTAAATTGACTTTATTGTTGCTTTTCTTTGCAGATGTTAAAAGGTTTTAGAGGATAAGTGATCATGGGAGATAAAAGGTGCATCATAACATTCCAAGATTATGGGACATTCTCAGGTTAAATTATTGATTCAAGATATTATTTTGTCTGATTACTTCTGAATGGTGTTTTTTTAATAAAAAAACAAACAAAACAAATTCTTTTGCATGTGCAATTTGTGTGGATAGTAGTTTTGACATATGTAAATTGGTTTTATTGCTGTTTTTCTTTGTAGATTAAGTTCTTGTAATTTCAGAATTTATTTCTCTTAGCTTATAGAAATAATTTTGTCTTGAAGACCTTTACATCATTGATCCATTTTCCTTTTTATATTTTAAATACCATGAAACAAAGCATCGTGAGATTGATCATTAAATTCGTGAGCTTTGTCTACATCAAGCCAACAGGGTCTGGGCAACTCTTGTTTTTTTTTTTTTTGATAGAAAGACAACTCTTGTTTTCTTTTTCATTTATTTGTTTTACATGAAAGACATGAGGATGCTGTGCTTTTTTATTCCCCAAAACATTTTAAGGACAGCTTTGAACTTGATTTTCTTTTCTTGGACTGGTTACAACTTTTGGTGGGGATGGAGTGCTACGTGTTCTACGTTAAATTGAAAGGCATCGCCGAGCATTTAACGTGCCACCTATTGGTCCAATTTGTTCTGATGTAATGAGTGATGGAAATTGCTACAGAAAATTTTGAGCACACTTCTTACGCCTAAGAACTAAACAACTAAATGTTTATTTGTTGATATAAGATCGGCTTGTTCATTTACGGAATGCTGAATGCTTTTCATATTTTCCTTTCTCTAGATCTCTCTGTTAATGGTATAGGCAATTTAGGGAATTTTATAGTATAAGAACTTTTGCTCGCACGAGTTGTATTGAAGCTTCTTTTTTTTTTTGTTGAAAAAATCACTTAGAAATTGTTTTTAGTCTGCGCATAGATCTCTTCTGATTCTAGAGTCTGTTTCCTATGAAAGTTTCTCTATTTTTGGTTTTTTCTGTAAGTACAACCATAGGTATCACTGTTTCCATATTAAGTAATTCTTGACGACTTTCTGGCAATTGTTGCTAGTTTTGTGGTTATTGTGATGCAGACACCAGTCAATGGTGATACACGGGCTCCTGCTATTGAACAAGCTATTAGAATGTTGTTAAATACATTCATTGTGACAAATTCTCAGGATGCTAGTGCTCTTAGAAAATGCGCAATGGAGGCAAGATATAATTACTTTCCGATTGTTATACATAGGTTTTCAAGACCAAGGTGAAAGGATGAGAATTCTAATTTTCTTAAAAAGCCTCTTTTCATAGTACTGATGTTTCAGTACAATTTCTTTGATATTTGGTTCTGCTTTCTTTATAGGTTGATTATTCCAGATCACTCACTCCCCCAGACGAACTACACAACTGCTCAATCACTTTTACATTCTGATAATCCTACTATTTTCAATGTTTTGGTAGATGTGGTAATTTCATGTTTTCCTCATGAATTTCTAATCTAAATCCTGTTATTAGGAAATTTATTTTTTTAATTACTCTCTCTGCCTATTTCTTTTCTTTTATCATAATCCAATGCAGTGGTTACTGGTTGGTTAGTTTGGCAGGAGGCAATGAGCTTGGTCCATGAATATTTTTCATGCTTGCTGTTAAAAAGCTATTGCTGCAGGCTTATGTGTAGCACTAACATTTTCTGTATTCTCAGGGTAGAGCTGAGAGACAAGTTCTTGTCGAAGATTACAACAGGGGAAGGGCTGTTGCATTTGATTGAAGAATAATGAACGTGTTGAAGAAAGGCTTCTGTAATTTGTCCTGAGAGTGAAATTGATGCTTAGAAGACATAGATGGAAGTACAACCGACAAACTAGATGCCAAATTGAAGAGATTGAATCAGAGACATGTATACGGGCAATCGGTATGGGGTTGTTAATTTTTGATGTTTCACTTTGAAAATACCCTAACATATGTTTGCAGTTTGATTCCATGTTAACTTTTTATATTTTGCAGATATTCAGAATCGATTGATGATCTTAGGATGTTGTAACTAGAGAAAGAGCATAGAATTTTAAGGAAAAGGCATACTTATAAAGCTTTTCGAGAAAGATTAGATCGAGTTTCTATAAACCAGCCAGTTTTCTTCATATAACCATGATGAAACCTCCATTTCTTCTTTCTCTGATCACATTTTTCTGGGTATCATCTTTTTTAGTGTTATCTGCTTCTTCACTGCCTCTCCCTTTGATTTCTCTTTTTTCGTTAAAATCTTCCCTCAAAGACCATGTTTTCAGTTTCAGAGACTGGGACCCTACTCCTGCATTTTCCAAGCCTGGTTTTGAAGAACCTGTTTCGGTGTTCATGATCTGGTGTCAAGGGCTATCCTAAAACAACTCAAGTCACATCTCTGGATCTCTCACATTTATTCCACCGAAAATCAGATATTTGAGGAGTTTGGTGAACTTGAATTTGAGTGGGAATTACTTCGATTGTCCTCTCCAATGAGCCCTTTTTGTTCAACGTTCCCGCTTGAGGTTTCCAAGCTTAGGTTCTTGAGAATCTTCAATGGATATAGCAATGGTTTTGAGGGTCCATTATCGATAGAGTTCGTATGGTTACGGTTCTTGGAGCAGCTCAATCTCGGGAGAAGTTATTTGAAGGTGACATAGAAGCTATTTATGGAAGGTTTGCCAGGTTGATGTTGCTTGACCTGGCTGGAAATGTACTTGAAGGCACTTTACCGTGTCAACTCGGATTCTTGACTCAGCTTGAACGGATAGAGATTGGAAACAATGCTTTTACAGGCACCATAGTAGTAGAGTTTGCATTGTTATCGAATCTCAAGTACTTGGACATTTCAAATTATACTCTTTCATGCCCACTCCCGAAAGAACTCGGCAATTTGAAAGCTTTTTGCTTTTTCAAGAATAGCTTCACGGGTGAAATCAGGGTGAGTTACACGAACTTGAAAGCTCTCAGGGTTCTTGATTTATCCAATAACTAGCCCAGTAGTGCAATTCTAGAAGGTATATCTTCTTTAACAGAGCTAACGTGCTGAGCACCCAAAAAAAACAGATCTAACGTGGTTAAGCTTGATCGGTAACAACTTTTTTGGTACAATTCCGGAAGGAATCAGTGAGTTACCAAATCTCAACACTTTACTTCTTTGGAACAACAATCTTAGCGACATTCTCCCACAAAAACTGGGTTCAAATAACTTGCTATCACTTGATGTCTCGTCGAATTCTCTTACGGGTCCAATCCCTCCAAATCTTTGCTTTGGGAACAAGCCATTCAAACTCATATTGTTTAACATGTACCTGGAAGCTTTGTAAACTGCACTTCACTTTCAAGATTCCGAATCCAAAACAATCTTCTCAACGGTATTATATCTTACTGTTTCGGACGGTTAAAAACCTGACGTTTGTTAACATAAGAATGACTTTACCGGCGAGATTTCCTATGCACTGATGTTAAAGTTACTTAACACCTTCGAGAACTCTTTTAATGCAGCGTTGTCAAGCTTTTCATGTTAGCTAGTTTAGCCAAGCTAACTGGGGAAATCCCTGATTTCATCGGTGGTAAAAACGTGTACAAAATCGAGCTCCAAGGTAATTCTCTAAACGGAAGCATCTGCTGGTACATTGATCATTGTGAAAAGCTTATCTTTGAATTTAAGCAGAAATTTGTTTACTGGAATAATTCCATGGAGATATCGACGCTTCCTTCAATAAATGTTGTTGATATTTCGCATAATTTGCTCACCAGAACTATCCCTTCAAACTTCGAAAACTGTAGCACTTTGGAAAATTTTGACGTATCCTATAACTTGCTAACCGGTCCAATCCCATCGTCTGGTCTGATATTTCCCAACTTACACCCTTCATTATTTTGCGGTAACAGTGGCTTTTGATGCAGAATTTTAGCGAGACCATGCCCCGTTGAGGCGATGGCCATAGGTGACATGGAAGTACGTAAATAGCTGCAGCAGCCAAAGAAAATGACTTATCATTTGGATTATGGCAGCCGCTTTTGGGATTCGTACCCCATTTTTTCCATGCGAATTACAGTTGTAGATTCAGTGATGATCGTGAGATCAGACCATGTAAATTGATCGCCTTCTAGCGTTTGAATTTCACCGCTGATGATGTACTAGAGTGCCTGTCGATGACTGATAAGATCATAGGGATGGATCACCGAGTATACAAAGCGGAAATGCCAGGAGGCGAGATCATAGCGATGAAGAAGTTGTGCGGTAAGAATAAAGAGATCATCTGACGCGGAAAGGTGCGTTGGCAGAGGTTGACGTGCTGGGGAACGTCAGGCACCGTAACATAGTTAGATTGTTAGGTTGTTGCAGCAACAGGGAGTGTACGATTGCATGGCAAGAACAAAGGGGAGAACTTGGTGGCCGATTGGGTGACAAGGTACAAAATTACCTTTGGCATTTGCTCAAGGCAGTTGTTATCTTCACCTCGACAGTGGTCCGGTTATTGTCCACCGCGATCTCAAGCCAAATAATATTTTATTGGACAAAGAGATGGAGACCAGAGTTGCGGACTTTAGAGTTACCCAGTTGATCCAGAGTGATGACTGATGAGTCCATGCCTTTCATTGTCGGCTGACTCCTATGGCTACATTGCTCCAGGTGCGTTCTTTAACTTTGTTTATTTAAGTCTAGGACTATTAATTATTGCTGTCATGCGCTTTATATTTGGTGCGCTTTAATTAATAAACGAGATCCCATATATGAAATTTGTTTGTTACTTTGGTAGATTTCTTTTATGCTTGAATGTCCAGTAAAAACGTGGAATAAGGTCGATTTGTTTAGCCTAAAATGTATAAAAAATAAGAATTATACCAATAATGAGTTGATTTAGCAAGATTAGATATTAGATTCTTTTAATTTCTAATGTTATAAATAAAATAAACTAAATTAGAAAGATCGTCTAATAATAAACATCTATCGTATAAAAAAAAAGAATAAGAATTTATCCTTGACAATTCAACGTGGCTAAGTGATCTCATTAGTTGGAATATTGGAATTAAACTTGACATTGACACACTTGTCATATTGTTGAGTGGGGTTACATTACTATTATTCCTCTTTTGGGTGCAAAAGAAAAGCATTAATTTCATTTTTCTTTTGTTGATATCTTCCCATGATTTGCTTTCCCTTTGCTATTTACTGTACACATGTTTTTACAATTTCAAGAATAAAAAAAAAAGGTGTTTTTAAACTTGATTTGGGGAAAAAATACATTGTTAGCTTTCCACTTGACACCATGAACTTAAACAAATGGACTTTTAGGCATCGCATGGTATCGTGAACTTGTTGCATGGATGGCGTATTATTGTTGTGCGTGAATACTCTGTGTTTTAACCTTGAATTATTTTACAAGAATGTCTATAGCTTCGGGTGGTGTTAATGGAGATTTTAAGTGAAAAAAGATCGGTGATTTGGAATTCGGCAATGGGAACAACATTGTGGACTGGGTGAGGTCTAAAATCAAGAGCAAAAACAGGATTACCGACATTTTGGGTAAAAATGTTGGTGCATCGGTGAGGGGAAGAATGGTGCAAATGCTTAGAACTACGTTACTATGCAGCAGTTGGAACTCGACGGACTGGCCATTGATGAGGGATGTTGTGATGATGCTCTGCAAGAAGTCAGGCCCAAGAGGAAACTCTGGTAGTTATTGGAGTTAATGTGGACGATCGTGTTTGCATTACTGATGGGATTGATGATTCTTTAGCACAAAAGATTATACTTTAAAAAGAAAAGGCATAGAAGCAAACTATAATTTTTACAATCTGACGAAATTGGGGAAACCAACCAAATTATTGTAAATCTCCAAAAGTCTTTGATCACATGCAATAGCTTGTTTATAATAGAGGATAGCCTGCTCAACTAAAACCCACTATGGCTAAATCATGTTATTTTAGCTATAACATTCATCAAATCACCAACAAGAATGACCACAAAGATTGAGCCAATATAGCTGAAAATAAAATAAAAGTATTGAATATGTACATGCGTACAATATATTCAATCATAAAAAAATGCTCATGTCCACAGAAGATACCACGAGGTCCTACGGAAGCTCAAGAAACAAACCCGAAGCTTTACGGAACTTCCCAGTTTGAACATGCACGGAAATTATAGAGTTCCAAGAAATGACACTCCGTTGAGGCATTTCAACAAACAGCTTATCCGCTTCACATCGATTCGTCCAGATCAGTGGAGACCCGAACCAAGTGAACTAGAGAGTAGTCATTTGGTTTAATGCCGGAGTGGAGCATCTTGGAAGCCTCGTGTACTGTAAGGTCCATGTCGGTGCCTCCTTTAGCTAGTGTTGAAACGAGAGTGAGCCATGATTCAAAGCTTTCCTTCGGAACTTTGTTATTGCCATTGTCGCTTCCTTGCGTAACTTGATCAAATCCACATAAATACTCTGAAATGTCGGGTTTTCAAGAGATGGGTGGTTTCCACCTCGGTTTTCAGTGTTGAATTTACGATGGTTAGGCAGATTTTTGGCGGTTTGGCGGTGAGTGGTGGCACCATGGGGACGATAAGTCCTTGTAGGGCTGTTGCTTTTGGTGTTATCGGATACCGAGCATAGAGGGCTGAGTTTAATGGATTTTTGAGAGAAAAAAAAACTTTATTTTGCTGTTGTGAGCTAAAGAATTCTTGGTGGTGATTGAGGACTTCAATTGGGAAGAGAAGCTAATGGAGTTTCTCGTGTTTTGAAGGGTACTAAAGACGCCATTGTTGTTTTGCTTGCGCCTTGCAGGGCCTGCTTTTGATCCATGCATGTGTCCAAGCCTCAGAGTCCCCCTTGCCTCAGCTCCTCTCCCCTTTTTATTGGCACCGTTTGTGCAGGTCCCCCCTTCCCAGCAAGAACGTGAGTTGAGGAGATAATGGGTGAACAACCCATTTCCCACAAAGGGAAACAGTTGGTTTACGTGAGGCTCAACATGGGACCTACAAAATAATTATAATATAAATTAATAATATTAATAATATAATATTTATATTTTTTAGATCCGGACAAAAACGACTGTCTACACTAAATATTAGATATAATTTTAAAAAACAATAGAGTTTAAGTATTAAAATAGAATAAAAGTAATAATTTAAACACTACATGTGTAGTTTACCCAAAAATTAAATATATTTATTTGTATATATATATAATATTAAATTATTAAATTTGGTCCCTTAAAAAATATGTATCTTTTTTTTGTGCATCGAAAAAAATTTAGGATAGGGTGGCTCTCTAAATCTAGGGTCAGGGTATACTTATATGTAAATTTACAGATTGTCCACCAAGAATGACGGTAGTAGGATTTAATCTTGACTTTAGAAACTCAAATTCTTGAATCTCAATCATTTTATTTATGTATTTTTTAAGTGGTTGATCAAATTGGAAAAAAAATCTCTTAGATTAAAAATTTTATATTGGAGAAAAATTGGGAGAGAAGTGAAATGATGAATGAGCTACTCAATTTCTTCTTCTTCATTGTAAGACAAGAAATTAAGAGAAAACAATTATGATTTTTTATGATATAATTATTTTTTTAGTATTAACTCAAAATCCTTCTTTAATAAATTTAGAGCAATATTTTATTTAATAAATTTAATCATATTCTCAAATTGAGCTATAATAATATTAGATTAACTCTCATATGTTGTCGCGAAAATTTGAATTATTATATGTTTGATATTGCTCTCTTAGATTAAGAAATTAAAAAAAAAACTAAAGAAAGCTAAAACATATAAAAATAAATGATTTCGTATTTCATATAAAAACCATAATGACAAAAATAGTACCTAACGTTTGATTATATGGTCATTTTGATTCCTATTCATTTTTTAGAAAATTTTGACCCTTAACATTTTATTTTGATACAAAAAGACTCTTTTACATGGTTAAAAATTGGAGAAAATAACTTCAGTGACCGAAAATGTCTTATAATATACGATTTTAATCAATTTTTTTTGATTTGCGAAAATAACAAACAAATTCGCAACACAGTTTCCAAATTCGCAACACAGTTTCCAAATTCGCAACGCGATTTTCGAATTCGCGACGCGAATCCTGCTATGTACAGAGATTTCAAAAGTTATCCAAAAGGGATAAAGCAAAACATGATAAAATAAAAATAATCAAAATTAATTCTCTTAATATTTTTAAATTTAAAATAATAAAATTATATTTTAACCCTTTTTTACTTACGGTTGGGTTAAAGATGAAAACTATATATATATATATATATATATATATATTTTAGCATAAAAGCATTACTCTGGCTGATGCTAGTTTATAGGAAAGAAAAGGATGTCAGGTATAAATCGGTTGTTAAGGGCGCGAATTCGGAATTAGCGTCGCGAATTGGAAAATCGCGTCGCGAATTTAGAGTTCGCGTTGCAAATTTGGGGAAATCGCGTTACAAATTTAGAGAACCTCGTTGCGAATTAGAGTTCGCGTCACGAATTCAGAATTAGCGTCGCGAATTCGACGCAAATTTGGAGAATCGAGTTGCGAATTTGGGTAATTGCGTCGTGAATTCGGAGTTAGCGTCGCGAATTTGAGTAATCGCGTTACGAATTTGAAGTTCGCGTTGCGAATTTATTGGTTATTTTCGTAAATTCAAAAAAAATTGATTAAAATAGTATATTATAAGACATTTTCAGTCACTAAAATTATTTTCTCTAAAAATTGTCAATGAACAAACGTCCAATACATTAAGCTGACTCAGCATGTACACTTGGATAAAATATTGATGTGACATATCTATATCATTGTTCCATGTCATCAAAAAAAAACGTCTAGTCAACAAAAACTTATACACAAGTTACACGTCATTATTTTTAATTAAGTGTCATCGTATGACTGGTTTAAGAATTGGAAGGAAATCAAAATTTGCAATTACAAGGTATTAAACCTAGGCCTTATGGATTAAGGCTTAACGCTTTACCACTAGAACATGTTATGTTGGTATTATTTTACAAGAATCTTTACTTATGTTGTACACATTGGTTTATACCTTTTAATTTCATAAGAACTAAATACATATATAATTATTTTAATTTTTAATTTCATAAAAATTTGCTTTTAATTAGATTAATATTTTAACAATAAAATTAAAAAATTATTATTTTTACAATTAATATCTAATTAAAAATTAATTTTACAGTTAACAACTAATTACGTATATCACTCTTTCAATTTTAATTTCATAAAAATTTACTTTAATTAGATTATTAAAATATAAATTGTAAAAAAATATTTTTTTTATTTAAATTGTTAAAATATTAATTATAAAATTAATTTTGAATTAGTTTACTAAAATATTAATTGTAAACATATAATTTTTAATTATATTATTAAAATATTAACTAATTAAAGATTAAAAGAGTTACATATGTAATTTTTAAATTGTAACTAATTATAAAATATTACAAATTATAAATATTATTTTAAAAAAAACATATCAATATCTAAGTTAAAAGGTATAAAACAATGTGTATGACATAAGTAAAGATTCTTGTAAAAGGGTGTAAATAAATTGAGCTTGAACGAATAAGATTATGTTCGTGCTCGTTTGTTTATTTTTAAAAGTATTCATGTTCGATTTCATTGCATATTGTCATCCATGCATACAAACAAGTAATTTTCCTTTTATTTTATACGTTAGGATGTTAGATAAGTTTCAAAAATCAAGACAGCCTGAAATAAAAAGGAAAAAAACATTCTTTTAATTCCTTTACTTAAACTGCTTCATGAATGCTTGAAAATTCTGTTCCCATTGCTTGTCGTCCTGCAGTAGGATACACCGTAGGGACCAGTTGGTTTCTTATCACTTCCCGTCCTTGGCTTTTGGCCCTGAAACCTAGGTCACTGTCTTTTCATTCTCCGACAAAACTAAAGGGCAACCCTTGTCTTCTCATTTTGTTTCTGTACATTGTCGGCAAATGAAAATAACAATCATTTCTAAGATATATGTTCAACTGATTCAGGGACCAAACTGCAGAAACGTGTGACAATGAGCATCATTTCTAACGTGTATCTTCACTTGTGTTGGACACATATTCGAATATAAATATAAACCTAAAATCCTTTAAAGGACAGATATCAAATATATATTCTAAATTTATAATTTAGAGTTTAAGATCATTTAAATATATCGAATAAGTTTTGAAGTTTGTTATAGGTCGCTTGTTTTTGCAATGTTGGAAGGAAGGTGTGGGGTAAAGTGTTGTTGATGGAACAAGACACAGTGAATGAGTGCTACTGTGGGGTTCATGTTTCTGTGTCTTCTTCTCCATTTTCCCTTTTCAATTATTAAAATTCATTGTCTCTTGCCAAATGATCATATATAAATATGCTCTTCCTCTTCCGTTTTCCCTGCAATACCAGTGGCAGACATGGAAACTTCACAGCCTCTTTCCATTGAAAGCTTTTCATATAGTTGGTTAGTGAACTTAAAGCCTTCTTTAGATGGTCTAGACGGCTCCCTCCGAGCTTCGATCGATACGTACGACGAAGCTTCGTTCATCGAGATGGACCCGAGGATGCCGCCTTCGAGGAGATTCTTTAGGAACTCTCAAGATTTCAAGTTTGATTTCCACAATTCACAAACTCCCCTCACCCTTGTTCATGCCGATGAGCTCTTTTCGCAAGGCCGGGTCATGCCTTTCTTCGTTAACACTTCAAAGATTGAGGCGTACCAAGTCTCCGATCTGACTTCGACCCTGCCTAATACAGCTTCACGTGCGACAGACCTCGCGGTTCCGCCACGAAAATCGAATCATCCCTCTTGGAGAAGGCGTCGAAGGTTGTCCAAGCGGATGTTTTCAAAGTACTTGAATTTTCTTCGGCCTTTGTATCGAACCATGTTGCGAGGAAACATATCGAGTGGTAGAGCCGAAGGTGTCGACCCAAGAGGTCAGGTGAGGAAGAACTGGCTATATCCGACCGCAACATCCCCTCGAATTAGCGTCGCGTACTCCGCCGACGAGTGGCGAACGTCGTGTGATTCCGAAAGCTCGATTTACGAGGCGGTTCTTCATTGCAAAAAATCAATCGGTACACTTGGTTTGCTTGTTTGATATTGCTCTATTTCTTCTACAATTGGGAAACATCAAGCTCTGGTGCTGATATTATTTTCCTGTTTCATTTTCCAGGAAACTGAAAGCAGGATCCATTTGAGAGAGAAAACAGGTTGTCTCAAAGAAAATCATGTGGCCACTTGTTTTTTGTTCTTGTGTTCTGACATTGACAATGTACATTTGTACTGTAATTATGTAAAAGAAACTTTTAGCACTTTGAAATTCGATTGACATCTTCATAACCTTTTTATGTAATTCTTGAATTAATCATTTAACACGTCCGAACTATATACATATGTATCTTATTCCATCGAATTTATAAACAAAATATATTTGAAAAAAATAAGTCATACATTATAAAACTGAAATCACAATGAAAATATAGAGAACTCATATGTTATATGATTCAAACTATGGATTTTAAAATACCTAATTAGAACAAAGAAATTTAGACAACAATTTAAACTTTGGGACTAAGTTCAAGTACCAATTTGAATCAAGAAATTAAATTTAAATTCACAATTAGAACACAAATAATTTAGGTACTAAATTGATTTTTAAAGTGAAATTCAAGTACCATAATGTATAGTTATCATTCCTTTTAAAATAACCCAAAAAATTAGAACATGGTTAAGTTATAATAATTTATTGGAACATGTTGCATGGATTATGTAGGGCCAGGGTTTTAAATCGCGGTCGCGTTTTCGGTCATTTCGTTTTTATCGTGATCGCGGTGGTCGCGGGTGTAGCGGAAGGCAGCGATACCGCGAAATCGCGGACGCTATCGCGGTAGCGGGCTGCTATTTGAAACCCTGTGTAGGACTCGTCCAAAGTAACCCTACTTGACTATCCATCTATATTTAGAATTTTAAATTTCTTTTATAACTATTGATAAATTAATTCAAATCGAATATCATAAAGATGATCATTCTAACTCAATTTTTCCATTCACATTATTAAAATTCAAACTCTTAACTTTATTTAAAATACCTAATGATTTATCCCGTTAGACATACCGATAATAAATTAATTATTATTTTTTATTTCAGAACACAATCATGTTTAGGGCACTTTCGATGCCCATATATCTGCAGCAGTTTTGTAGGATACGATTTTCATGCATGCATGATGTGATTGTTTAGGTGGCACTGCCTCATTTAATAAAACCAAATCATTTGTCTCTAAATGCTTAGATTAGTAGCTAAATTTATGTTGGAAATCATCATGAACCCCAAAAGCAAGGCAAGGAAGCTCTGAAAACAAATGGGTTCTTGGTTCAACTGATAATGGGATTATAGGATGAAAAACAATTGGGGTTTATTCAAATGAGAGGATAATGTGATCTCTGAAAACAAAAACTCTGGTCCCCTTAAGCCATTGAACTGGCAAAATGATGGACATGAAATGAGAAACTTCTTCACATGCCAACCAGTAAGGATAGGGAGACATGGACAAATGGTGCAAGTAGAAGTTGCCAAGCTCTTGCTAACATTGATCTTTACTGGATCTATCTTATTAGAGTTTGTGACTCTAATTTCGTTATGATCCTACCCAAAATATTTGTAGTGTTATCCATTTAATGAATAAACAAATTGAGAAGTCAAATTAATACGGTACAATTTACTTAAACTAGGGTTCCCCCAAGTTGCTATAGTGTGTGGGGAGAGAATCCTAGTTTGTCACAACTATGATTACTTAATACCTATAGCAACGATAAATTGCTATATGTATTAAGTGACCGTAACTGGCTAACAAGACATTAAATTTTGAGTGTTTGTCCCCAAATATTGACATCAATAATGAAGGTCCTATTATCTACATTTTGAAAGGAAAAAAAAAAGAACTCATGTAAATCAATTTGTTTGTAATAAGGTTATTTATGTTAGATAATATGATTTTATTAGTGTATCAACAAATCCACTAAAATAACACATGCTGAAGTATTGTGTTTAGTCTTCGATAATCATTATTAATCAAACTAAATTCAAGCGTTTTAATCGGAGGAAATGACAAGTTTGCACAAATAATCACTTCCAAACAATCGGATTCGACCATCACTTTATTATATTGCTTCAACAACATGGTCTTTTTCATATGTAAGAACAATCATCGAAATAATATGAACTCCCTATAATGGACCCTAAACCCATTATATAAGCCCCCAAAGCAGATAAGATACAAGGATTCTGAAATTTTAGGCCTAACAATAGCTGGTAGTAGATGGTCAAGCCTTACAAGTGGAATTATCCATATTGGGCTTTTGGCATTTGTTCACAAAGTGATTGACAATTTAGATTTTCACTGCGTGAATATATTGTAAAAATATATAATTATCTAAAAATTTATTGTAAAAATCTAGATAAATTTACGTAAACTTAGATACGAAGCAATTTGAATTTAAATTATCTAAAAAGAACAATGTTATTTTTAACACTAAAATTGATGTTTGAGTTCTTGAAGAAGTATTAGGGGTTGTTTGTTTGGCTCTGAATCGAACCATTCAACGCTGAATGTTGAACCGTTCAACATTCAGCGTGTTTGTTTCGCACCTCTGAATGATTCAGTACTGACTGATTCAGCAAAACAGTGTTGAATGATTCAGCATCAAAATACATTCTGAATGATTCAGAGCAATTATCAAACAGTATGTCACATTCAGAGCTAATTCATACAGAGCCTCTAAATCATTCAACGTTTAATCATTCAGAAGTAAACAAACATACTCTTAGTTTGAAATTTTAGTGATAGAGCTGAGTGTATTTGACTTTGAGATATCATAAAGACGAAGAACAAGTGGGACAAGGCAACCTAATTTCCCGAGAAGAGTAAGCTTTGGTGAAGAAGCAAAATCTGGCAAATCCCTGGGCTCAATCAAAACTCTTTTCCGAGAAAACCACTGGTGGTGACCACGACTTGTCTTCATTATTGGGGTTCACTGCACACACAGTGTGCCCATTGCCCAATCACTCCAAGGATTTTTACCAAACAGGGACCAGTTTGCGGATTAAAATAATAATAGGGCTTATTATATAAATTAATATACGAAGTTTGACAATTTAAAAACATTGATGAATCGAAATCAAAGGGTTAAATTTATAAACGTGGGAACAAAATAGTTGGTATCTCCCTTGGAAATTAACAGCAGAGATGAAAACGAAAGACAAGTGGACAAGTGGGTTTTCACACGTCTTTTCTGCAACTTTTAGGGTTTGATTAATATACAAAATTGATGGAAGGGGACTCTGTTTTCATAAAGTGAATAGTGTTATATATATATATATATATATGAGAGAGAAAGGAGAGAGATAATCATTCGAAAGTTGGACGAGTTCCATTGTTTAATATTCCCTTTACACATTTTCGTCAACTATTTGAAACAATTTATATGGGGAAAATTATACCGTTAGTCACTGAAGTTTAAGTTTTATATCGATATTAGTAGTTAATTTTAAAATGTAAGTATTGAACTTTGATTTTTGGTTCAATTAGGGTATTGTGTTGTTAAATCATTAAAGATGTGACGAGATGATTATTTCTGTCTCGGATTTAAAGAAAATTATCATCTCTTCCAATTGTCTCTATCGCTCAATCGTTGTCCATTACCGTTCATCATTCGTAGTAAGATTGATAGCAAAACATTCATATTTCACTCATCTTTCTCATCCTCAAATTGGTTTTCCGTAAAACTCTCTCAAAATCGATGAAAATCAATATAAAAGTTCAACGTGCTAATGTTCTGGTCTCGTCCAACTTATGTTTGATGAAACTAGCTTCAAGTTATGTATTTGTCTTCTTAAAAGAATATTTTCACGATCAACTTATGTTTAATTTTGTGGGTTTTAAAGAGATTTTAGAAATAATCTAAACCAACAAAGTGGTAGAAGATTATGAGACAAATTCATCGTTATTTAGGATTGTCACAAAAGATGTCCAAGAATGACGACTTTCAACCAGAATTGAAAATGAATAATAAAAAAACATAATTTTAATGAGAGTGTTTTTTTTTTACTTTCATGTTAGTACCGAAATTATCATGTCATAATACCGTTTCGAATTTAATAGCCTAATATTTTAATTAAACTCAAATCAAAATTTAGTGCTTACATTGAAATATTTTAAAGTTTAGTAACTGACGTTATAGTTTACCGATATATATTATGAAGTTCTAAATTCATACTTACTAAACGCAAACACCTTTTTGACCATTATTTTTCCAAAACAATATAAATAAATAAATGTGTTATTTTACGTCCTAAGTGCTCATTTTAAAGCATGTCTTTTTAATTTTTTATTCTGGTTTTCTCCTTATACTTTGTGGCACTAATAAATCACAATGAACGGCTAGAGTTTAATGGTCCATTAATGGCACACACATAAGCTCATAGTTATATATTTCTATTGGTTATTAGGTTATACCTTTTGCATAAGGAAACAATACAATTATTTAAATGGATCGAGTTTTAACCCTAATAATTTTAACATTATCAGTGATCTAAATTATAATTAAATTATCAAAATTAAGGATTATAGTGTCTTTCGGTTATAATATAGCTTCGTCCCTGACAAATACAACTTATTTTCAGGACGAATATGTGCATATCTTGAAATTTATTTTTTTTTTGATTAATTATTTATTTCACTAATTGTGTTTACCTTAAAAAGTTGTTTGTGATCGTCTCATATATATATATATATATATATATATATATATATATATATATATATCCTAAAAAAACGAACCATCTGTTAGGCTGTCGCAATAGCACAAAATTGAATTAAAGTATGGTGTATGGTTGGGCTAATACATGCATTGATGAAATATAATTGGGTATCTATTGAGCCCCACCTCTGATTCTATATTCAATAATGCACTTGCATGCAATTTGTGTTTGGAAAAGCCAACTTGCGATCTAACAACAGAGGACCATTAATGAATCATAGCAGAAGCCAATGGGGGCACTGTGAGCTTACATGTTCTACAAATGAACAAATATAAAGTCATATGAAACCTCACTTGCAACCCCTTTAACAAAAAAGAAGAAGAAGATATTTCAATCATATTCATAAGAAATGAAAAGAAAATGCCTAATTCGTCCGTTGATTCATTCCAAAAGTAAAGGCATATACCCCAAATGTAAAGATTTTATCTTAATCGAATACACCCTACTGACAATACGGCATGACGTGTAACCCACAAATAGAAATGCTGGCCAATAAAAGGATTTTTAACCCATTGCATGTGATGCTGATGTGGGAAGGCAAAGAGACAGAGTCAGATGAGTATTGGAATCTCACATTTTCTTTCTTTCTTCGTCTTCTTCTTCTTCAACAGACCCCAAACCCCAAAAGCATTGTCCAAAAGATACCCCCCTTGAATTTTGATATCTTGATAAATGATAAGAGCTCTCACCCTTTTCATTCCCCTTCACATCTTCAACAACCTTCCCTTCTGCCATTTTGTAAGAGGCTAAAAGTAGCACGAATCAAAAGATTTTAATGGTTAAAAGATAATTATTATCTCCAAAGATTTTGAGTTCTAGCACGACGTTTATAGGGATATTTGAATATTCATTATCAAATATTACCTTAAAATATCGTATTGTAATCGCCTATTCGAATCTTGCCAAAAGGGAAACAAAACTATTTCTAAACAAAAACAAATTCACGATTGTTACTTCTCCCCACTCAACCAGTAGGGAGAACTGTTGAATTTGGAAGGGAAGAAGAATCCAATGAAATGAAAGAACGATATTTCTTCAATGTGTCCCTAATGGCAACTGGCAAGTTCTACAATTGATTCCCATGGTAGGCCAATGTCTATAATCAACTTCCTCAATTCTTACACTGGGACAAAACTAAAAATTTATTAAAGGAGATCAAAATAAAATAAAGAGACCCCAAAATATATAAGAATTAATGTACGCACAAGTAGTACCTACTGTTTTTCAATTGGGGGTCTAGTAAAACTTATTTTACTTATTTCTCAAAATTTTAATTTTTTAATATTAAATTAATATTAAAAAAGTAATTGATAGAAAACAAAGTTCCTGTTGGTCCCTACGATGGTCCACCTCAAATTATACGACAATCGTTTTTGGTCAAAATTTTAATATATATATATATATATAATTAGAGTTGATCTAAATAAAATAAAATAAAATCACACAAAAAAATATATTAACTGACTAAATAATTAAAAATTAATAGATATAAACAAATATAGTTATCAATTAAAAAAATACTGTTAATATTAATATATGTTGATAAATTGATTTTATCATAACTCAATCGAAATTTATTTTTTATATTTGAGAATATAAAATAGAAATATATATAAAAAAAACTAAATCGATATAAATTGAAAAGGCTACCTCAAATATAGTTCTATAATAAATTATTTTATAAAATAGAGATATATAAAAAAATAACTAAATATATCCAGCCCTCATCTCTACTCTACAACATCTCTATCTCTACTCTAAAGATGAAACAATAATTCATCTTCATCACTATCTCTATATTATCACCAACTCTACTTTATTCACAATATTTAACTATTAGTATGTTTATTTGTCTAATTTCAATGTATTTTTATTTATTTTGTAATTTAATCTACTTAAATTTATTATATTATGTTTAATTTTTATTTTATTGTGTAGAAATTACAATAAAAAATATAAAAGAGAAAATAATATAACAAAGAAAAAGAAAATAACAAAAGAAAATAACAAAAGAAAATAAAAAAACAAAAAAATATAAAAATAACAAAAAATAATACGTAGTGCAATACAACTCTAGATGTAGAGTATCACTGTAGTTGTTTTCTACTCTAACGTTGAAAATATAACGTTGAAAATAGAGATGGACTAGAATTGAAATTCATCTCTAAAATGGAAATTTTCTCTATCTAATGATGTACTGGAGATGACCTTAAGACAACCTCCAAAACGGCCCTTTCTCTATTGTGAGTGCCATTGACTATCTCTACCGCAGAGCTTGGGCAATTGAATTCCTTCTTACTAAAAGGGAAGCAAATGCTTCGGCTGATCTCTTCTCCAAAAGCACCTCCCTCCCTGATGGTTCACTCAAACTTCTGGAAAACCCCTCCGCCTCAACTGATGAATCTAAAGGACGAAAGACATTTCTAGACCTCCTTACACTCGTATAAGACACTATTAATCCAGCCTTTGGCTTCATTTACCGTTAAAAAAAACTTTCATTTATAACAACTAAAAGAATTTTTTTTCTTAAACTATGATTAATGAAATAAATAAATAAAAGAAAAACCTAATAAAAAGAAAACAAATAAACAAGGAGAGAAGCTGGTCACCGGTAAAGTAAAAAAGAAAACAAAGGCAAAATGCCAAGTAAAAACTTTCACGTTTGTTTTTTTCCCGGTAAAATAATATTTGTATAGCAATTTCCTCCCTATAGTATTTGTATAGCATGCTATAAATAGTTGAAGAATGCAAGCTAATGGCTTTAGTCCTTTACCTGTCAAAACACCCTTTACCTCAACGTTTTTTCGGCCTAATACATATAGCTAAATTCATTCTCTCTTCGATTCTCAACAATCCATTATTTATTTTTCATCTCTGAAGCCTCCCTTTCCATTTTCCTTTCTCTTGAATCTTCTCTCCTGGGCTGTGTTTTTATATGAATATTTGGATGTTGTTAAAAGAATCATACTTTTATATGCCAAGATAGAACAAAGGAGGAAGAAGAAGGGAGAAGAACAGAAAAAGGTGAAGCTTTTGTTTCATTTGAGAAGGAAAATGACGTTCCTTTTGTGTTGTTAGACAGAGAAAATGGAACAAAAGGGGATGTTCTTCTCAGCTTTAAGTGTTGGGGTTGGCCTTGGATTGGCCTCTGGGCAAACTGTGAGCAAATGGACTGGCAACACCATTGCAGATGATGGCCTTACAGGGGAGCAGATTGAGCAGGAACTTATGATACGAGTTAAACTTGGGAAACTCAGCAAGGTCACCTTTGATGACTTTCCTTATTACCTTAGGTAAAGCCAATGATGGGTCCTTTTCCTTTGGTTCTGGTGTTTTTGCATTAAGATTTTGTTTTCACATCCATATACTTGTTAAAAGGAAGATAAAATGATTGTTTTTTGTGACATACTGCTATCATGTTTTTCTTGTGTTTGATATTGGTCTCCAATCAGTTATAGAAAGAGGAAAACAAAAAAGTTGTTGGTTTTGGTATGTATCAGGGCTCCATGTGCCATGGTGGCATGCTCTGCCATGGAGATATTCTTTGCACATGCTACTAAAAGCCATTAACATCCGTGATCTTTTTATTTTGTTACATTTCCTTTTGATTTTTGGATGTATTTTGATTATATCAATTAACCCTCTCTTTTTTCCTGGGTTGAAGTTCCTAGATGGATTTGTTCTTCAGAGATATATGATTTTGGATCATATATGGGCCATGGAATCTGTTTCCATTTTTGTCATGAAAGTTAAGCAGACTGAGATATATATTGATTCTTCAACATGATAGTGCCTGTTGCATAGTGTTTGAACATATCAATATTCATAAAATGATTTCAGGTTAGGATATAGACTATTTTTGGACAATCTTAGATCTTGAACTCCATGAAAGCTGCAGGTTTTGCTCTGGCTTTGAATGTTCCTTTATTTTAATTTTGAGGGATTTCTTCCCTTTAGGTACAATTTTGAGGGATTCTGCCCCTTGGTGGCTGTCAGGCCTTTTAGTTCTATTTCCTCATCAATTGAGTTTATTTATCCATTGAAGTCGGAAATTTTACATTTTATTCAAAAACATGCATTACTAGAAGTTTAAGGCATTCATTCTGATCTTTTTTGAAGTTATAATAGTTTCACAAATTTACTCCTTTTAATGGTGTTTAATACAGCGAAAGAACTCGGGCATTATTGACGAGTACTGCATATGTCCAATTAAAACACAGCGAAGTTTCTAGGCACACGCGGAACCTTTCCCCTGTCAGCAAAGCTATTTTGCTCTCAGGACCTGCTGGTATGTATCTGGAATTGTTTTGGTAATTCTACATTAAGATATTCGCCTGTCCGAGTTCATTATTAACCTAGTGTTCTGCCTTTTTGATTCTTGTGAAGAGCTATACCAGCAAAAGCTTGCCAAGGCTTTGGCGCATCACTTTGAATCCAAGCTACTGCTTTTGGACATTACTGATTTTTCTCTCAAGGTAAATAGGCACAATTTTAATAATCATCGAGCTTCAACTGTCGTAGAATCCTACTTATTTGTTCTATGATTATTCTGTCACAGATGCAGAGCAAATATGGTTGTACCAAGAAAGAACTCGTAAGTTGTATTTTCGGTTTTGGTTTTTTATCAATGTGACTGTATGCACACATCGGACATGGTTGTGCTCGAGTCTGAAATTGAATGATGTGGTTCAACAATATATCCCTTTGATGTGCCTTTCTTGAGTTAATTCAATCTTATTAATTCGTGGTCGATATGTTATTTACCATGGCATATCACATTCTCTAATTTAGTTGCATCTTTTGCAGGCTTTGAAAAGGTCCATCTCGGAGGTGACTTTTGATCGAATGAATAGCTTGTTTTGTTCTTTTTCACTCCTTCCGCAAAGAGAAGAAACAAAAGGTATTCTGTCAACTTGTTAACCGAAGAAAATTGCCTCTTTAAGCTTCATTTTTCTGCATTTTGATTCTCTAATGAAGCCTGCTTAGCTAGTCATGCTCTTGTGGTTTTGTTTTTGATTCGTTGTCATGATTATGTTATGAAACATGCTCGGTTTTACTTTTCTCTTGTCATCTTAATCTTTTCATTTCTTGTTGGTGGTTCTCCATTTCTCACCTTTATTTCAGTGTAGTTTTAATCAAGATTCTTCTTACAGGTACATTTCGTCGACATGGTAGTACTACTGATATAAACTCCAGGTAATCACTTTTATCCTTTAGTTTATCCCATTTTATGGTACAAGAGCACCAAGTGGTTATCGTAATTAGTGGCCCGTTGTTATTGCTGGATCGGAGTGTCCCATATATCCTTCTTGTTCAATCATTTGCAGGGCTACGGGAGGTTCGAGCATTCTTCCGAAACTCAAAAGAAATGTCCCTACATCATCTGACATGAGTAGCATCTCTTCAACTTCGGCTGTCACAAATCCAGGTTACACTTCAAATACCTTCTTTAGTTCTTTCCGGAAAGCCTAATGATATGTATGGTATTATCAATTATTACAGTCGAAAGGTTAAAAATACGATATCCGGTCATTTTTGTTTGTTTGATCAGTGCACAAGCGCAGTAGCAGTTGGTGCTTTGATCCAAAACTATTTCTGCAGTCACTTTACAAGGTATGCCGTAAATTCGAAGTAGTCCTTTTGGAGATGAATCATGAATGATATTTCTAGATGATGAGGTACACATGCCTTTATATGTTTTACATACGTTCCATATCAACACCATACTATATGTGTGCTGTTGTTTTCTTGCAGGTGCTGGTTTCGGTATCGGGAACCACTTCCATCATCTTATACCTGAGGGATGTCGATAAGCTCCTTCTTCAATCGGAACAGTTATATAATCTGTTTCAAAAGTTGTTGAACGAACTTCCACATTCCGTGTTGATACTCGGTTCCAGGATGTTGGACACAGAAGACAAATACAGGGAGGTTGACGAGAGGCTCTCGGTATTATTCTCGTACAATATCGAGATAAAACCACCCGAAGATGAAAATCATCTTGATAGCTGGAAAACCAAACTCGAGGAGGATATGAAGGTGCTTCAAGTTCAAGATAACAGAAACCACATTGTTGAGGTACTTGCTGCAAATGACCTCGAATGCGATGATTTGAGTTCTATCTGTCATGCGGACACCATGGTCTTAGGTAATTATATCGAAGAAATCGTGGTATCGGCAATCTCTTATCACTTGATGAACAATAAGCATCCGGAATACCGAAATGGAAAGCTTGTTATATCATCCAAGAGCTTGTCCCATGGATTGAACATATTCCAAGGAAAAAGTTGTGGGAAGGATACCTTAAAATTGGAGACAAAAGCCGAACCTGCCAAGGTTTTGCTCTAATGCTAGTTTGTGTTCAGTAGAAATCAAGCAATAAGGATCTTGGTAACTTTATACTTCTGGATTAACTGTTTACCCCTCTCTGTTAACCTTAGGAAAATGAAGGTGAGGAGGTTGTAAGTACAAAAACGGAACCGAAATCGGACACCACTGCATCTGAAAGCAAAAATGAGTCCGAGAAGACCCTTTCTGGTGCGAAGGAGGACAGAGAGAAGCCGCCGCCGGCAAAAGAGCCTGTAAGTTTATGTCCACTACCCCTTTTCTCAGGTGTCTTTTTCCTTCAGTCCTTTCATTGTATTTTTCTTACTACAGATACAACGTACATGCAGGAAGTTCCTCCCGATAATGAGTTCGAGAAAAGAATAAGGTCAGAGGTTATCCCTGCTAATGATATTGGAGTGACGTTTGCCGATATCTGTGCCATGGATGATATCAAAGAATCGCTTCAAGAGCTGGTTATGCTCCCTCTTCGAAGGCCGGATCTCTTCAAAGGGGGGCTTCTCAAGCCATGCAGAGGAATATTACTCTTCGGGCCTCCTGGTACCGGGAAAACAATGCTGGCAAAGGCCATTGCAAATGAAGCAGGAGCAAGTTTCATTAATGTCTCAATGTCCACCATCACGTCGAAATGGTTCGGCGAAGATGAAAAGAACGTGAGAGCCTTATTTACATTAGCAGCGAAGGTTGCGCCGACCATTATTTTCGTAGACGAAGTCGATAGCATGCTGGGGCAAAGGACTAGAGTCGGGGAGCATGAGGCTATGCGGAAAATTAAGAACGAGTTCATGACACATTGGGATGGTCTATTGACTAAAGCTGGTCAGCGGATTCTTGTCCTTGCTGCAACCAACAGGCCATTTGACCTTGATGAAGCAATAATTAGACGTTTCGAGCGCAGGTAAGTTCAATTCATGGACCGACTTGCTTACAGCTCGATATGATCGAGCATCTTATCTTACTCGTGTGCTTTCCATTCTGACCAGAATTATGGTCAGCCTTCCGTCCGTTGATAGTCGGGAAATAATTTTGAGAACTTTATTGGTAAAAGAGAAAGTCGAAGATCTCGATTATAAGGAGCTTGCAACCATGACAGAAGGATACAGTGGAAGTGATCTCAAGGTTTGTATTTTTTATCTCACAACATTTATCATTGATTTATATCGAACTATTAACGACTAATGGCCTAAAAAAATGTTACCGTGAACAGAACTTGTGTGTGACGGCGGCTTATCGACCTGTTAGGGAGTTGTTAAAGCAGGAGAGGTTGAAGGATCAGGTGAACTACACAATCTCTTTGTTCTTTTACATTGTCTTCGTGTTACTCGAATCCAGTGACGATGTATCTTATCTATTTCCGATTTCAATAACTTTCCTATAGGAGAAGAATGGGCGAGGCAAGAGCTTGGAAGATGTATCAGAGATGAAAGACGAGAACGAGGAACTAGTAATCTCTTTGAGACCTTTAAACATGGAAGATATGAGACAAGCAAAGAATCAGGTAAATTCTGGTTATAAACCTTTTGCCTGAAACGCTGCAACGTCTCCCATCGGCGGAGTTAGTGTTTTGCCATTAATATCGGATGTGATATTTGAAAGCCGTCATCGATTAGTCGTATATAAATCAGAAATGCATATCCTTTTGTTATCCAAGTGCAATTCAATATCAAATGTCATTTTAAATGCATGTAGGTTGCTGCTAGCTTTGCTTCCGAAGGATCGATAATGGCAGAGCTAAAGCAATGGAACGATTTATACGGCGAAGGAGGTTCGAGGAAGAAGGAGCAGTTAACTTACTTCCTTTAGATTGTAAAACAAGGCATCTCAAATCCTCATCAACAGAGTTCTCCATGAAAGAGAAAAAAAAATTCGGTGATGCCAAAAGCCCTGCAATAAAAATATAAGTGTTCAACAATACTCACCAGTCTTACATGGGATGGGGGTAGCATTGAAGACGGAAAGCTCCGGCCCGGATCCGAAATGCCGAACAATACAACAGCAGAGCTCTTGCTAGGGTGTGTGAATTACATATATATTGTTAGATAAGATGTTAATTCGAGATAAAAATAATAATAATAAACATTAATTATTATTGAATCGAACAAAACAAATAAATAAATAATTAAAATAGAGGAACAGAATTGATTTACTCATATGTAGATACAGAATCGGATGAGTAAAATAAGATAAACCGAAGAAGGATTGTTGAGGCCTGTATGAACAGTTGACGCCGGACAGAATAGCGATTATCCTGCGGTCTAGTTCCAACAGATGATTCAAAGGAGAAAATTCGTCCAAAAAACCAGAGAAAAAGTCTCTAGGGTTTAATAGAATAATATATAATCAAACAATGCGAAAATCAGTCCACAAGTCGGACTGTTATAGCCAAAATTCGTCTTTATCCGAATTTTTCCAAAAATAGCAAAATCTCAGAAATCACTCTAAATTGAAATTCGAAATAAATTAAGCAATCTACAAAAAATCCGGCTCAAATCGGATTTAAAATGACTTCCTAACTGACAAGCGAAATATTACCATAAATAGTAAAAAATAAATAAAACTAGTGATTCGGATGGAAAAACCGTAAAATTTGAGGTCAAAAAAAAGACCACATGGAGTCATGCTCAATGTGGACAGCGTGCGCGTCGAAAGGGGCTTTCCGAATTGGGGTCTTATGCGCAATTCCGACACCCGTAGCCAAAGTTATGGCCAAAAGACTGAAAAGCACTCAAAACGGCCCCAATGAGTAACATATCACACTCATGGTATCTCAGTGCCATCAATGTGTAATCTGACAGCTCAACATCATCTGTCTCGGATCCCCTTGCATCAACAGTTTCCTTAAGACATATTCGTCCTCTTCTCGGTGCTTTGAGTAACGTTGGACATCGATCTCCCAAGATAAAACAATAAACGATCACAACAGTAAACACAACCATAATGATCAATCGACACAATCTTGCATTTTTCTATCACTGGAAAGAACGAAATTGGAATGAATTTTCTAAGTGTTTTTCCTATTCCAAAGTTTTAAACTTGTGTAACATGTGTCTCAAAGATGTCTCTAGGATTTGTGCCTTAACTAGCCTATTTATAGAAAAAAAATAGATTGAAGGGTTAAGATCTTTCGATGAAAAGACTGAACCTTTCGATTAAAGGACTTTTTCTTTTGATGAAATGACTTTACTTTTTCTTGAAAGGATTTAATATTTTCATGATTAGAATTGTTAAATAGATATGATTGAATGGATGCAACTTTAAACCAAAAATTAAGTCTATTCACCAAGTGATATGACTTATTATTAATTAGTTATAAATAGCATCAATTCATTCAATAATTTTTCCAACAATCACCAATATGAATGAACTTAATGGTTAAGACACTGACCTGATATGGTGATAGAGTCTACATTTGATATTTGCATAAGATAGGTAGGCATTCCTTTTTGAATCTTCCCTTGCGAAAATATGTTTACCTTATTAGTTGTCCAGTAGACGTGATGTCTTTGAACTGTTTTATCGTTGGTGTAAACAATAACATACCTCACACAAATATTTCACTGACAAGAATTTGGTTCTCATGGTTATATCCATATAGCCGTGGACATCTTCTGATTTTGCAAGAGTTTAGAGAACTATGCCCCGATAGTCTCTTTGAAGCGGCTCCACTTCATTCTCACATAAGTGACTTATGTTGTTCGGCTCACCGGAACATATAGTGGTCATTAAAAACATTGCTTAACCTTTTCTACATAAAAGTGTTGGGCTGTTTAATGACAAGTCAAGACACATGAGTCATCAACAAGGGAAGATTCAAAAAGGGACGCCTACCTATCTTATGCAAATATCGAATGTAAACTCTATCACCATATCAGGTCAGCGTCTTAACCATTAAGCTAATTCATATTGGGGATTGTTGGAAAAATTATTGAATGAATTGATACTATTTATAACTAATTAATAATAAGTCATGTCACTTGGTGAATAGACTTAATTTTTTGTTTAAAGTTGCATCCATTCAATCATACATATTTAACAGTGACTTCATCATAGGGATGGACTTACGATAGGAACTCTCACAGTAGGTTGTCTCATTGAACCTAAATATCGGGATCTCCAGTCAACTAGGTTAAGTTTTCCTTCACATAGAGCCTTAAATATTAATGGGTTTTAGTCATATTCCTTTTTATGTTTATCAACATGATTCCGATTCAATTCATTGGTTAGCGAATCCGCAGTGTTATCTTTTGATCTTACAAAGCCAATATAGATAAGTCTAATTGAGATCAGTTGTTTAATGGTATTTTGTCGATGAGTCGTGTGTCTTGACTTGTCATTAGACACCCCAATACTTTTATGTAGTTGTAGGAAGGTTTTATACCATTCCATAACTCACTTGCCTATTTTCTTGTGGGTTACCTTATTTAGGTAATTTGATGATAAAATAGCTTCCCCCACTTGTTCTGTGACAACTCAGAACATGACCAAATGTCATTCATAATTCTTTAGCAATCTTATAGATACTATACACTTCATATGATGTATCTGACAATCCATTCAAGATGTAATTCTGATATGAAAAATTCAGAATGCTTCCAAGCTTTGATAACACTAAATGTGATAATAACATCTATCACATCCTCTCTAATAATAGGAGTATCGTCCTATATTTGATCATATTTAACATGATAAAATATAACAACATCTTATGTTGTTATGTCTTGAAATTCTATTCATAGAATTTCACAGACTTCTCGTTGTTGCTCTCGACCACCGACACAATTGAATTTAATTGAAGTCTGAGTAGTACTCAAAATTTCAAACAATTTCTATTAAATAGTAAATCAAATAAATTTTCTTGGACGACAAGATTAAAATTCCTGAAACAGAATTATTCAGAGAAAATTATTAAAATCTGTTAAACGCCAGGAGTTAAAATCCTAAAACATATTTATTCAAATCAAGTAAATTTTTTGAATCGACAAGAGTAAATCTTGAAACAGACAATTCAACAATTAAACAATTTATGTTAAACAACATGAATTTAGTAAAACTAACACCCAAAATAGAAATTCACAATTAACATTATTTTGTTGAATCCGTTAAGTGTCAGGATTTAGTCAAACTAAAATCAGAAACAAAATCAACTTCTGTTGGACAATGGGATTAAAACCCGAAACAGAACAATTTCCTTGAACGGCGAGAATTTAATAAACTAAACATCGAAACAAAACTAGCTTCTGTTGCACGACGGGAATTTAGTAAACTAAAACCCGAAACAGAAGTACAAAAGGCTTTTCACTTTCACAACACATCTATGGTGCCAAAACCATAACCATTAAATATTAAAAATAGTAATAATCTAAAATCTTACGTGCGATGTCGATCTCAACTTATCGGGATGCCGGATAAAATTAACAAAATCCTTTAGCAGATGAAAATATGAATCCCTTAATAAGGAAAAACAACAAACTGCAGAACTTTGAACCATTTGATAAGTGCTCTCAGTGAAAGATTAGAATCCCAATTTGAACTATCATGAAGGTTAATCAACTTTGATCATAGAATTAATATAAAAATATGGACAAGAGAAAAGAATGTCAACAGATCATTGTAAATTCACGCGTAGAACGAGGCAAACTGCACTCTAACTCCCAAATTAATATTGAATTATTGATCGTCATCATTAAATCACGCCAACCAATGGCTTGGTGCGCATACCACAAAGGACGAGGCTTGGTGTGCAATAAAACTTGTTCGATCATTGATCCTTTGAAATTCAATATTTGAATGTTTCTTGGTTTATGTTTGGTTTCACCTTGACGTGCACCATAAGTTCCAACATGCTTTCATATCTTCGATTATCCTTCGTATGCTTTGGTAACCTGCTTGGTTTGTATGTGGGTAGGATTGAACTTAAAAAAATAGCTCGATAAATGTGGTAAGAGACAACAAATTAAAAAGATATTGTGGGAGAATCTTACCATATCTAGTGTGAACACCTATCCAATGAAAGAATCCTACTAATGGATGTAATTAGATAGGTTTGGGTTGGGTTTCCTTGATTTAGGGGATCTTGTATTAATTGAGCATATCTTAACCGTTGATGTAAATCGATCTAGGTCATTGATTGAGAGGGAGTTCAACTATAAATATAGAGTCTTTTCTCCTCATTCGTATTATCTAATTCCATTCATTCTCTTTGGAGAGTAATAAAGCTATGAGGCATTTACTCTAGTTTTTTTGTTCTTTGTTCTTTATTCTCTTGGTGGCTTGGAGTAGCCATATTTATGTTTGCACTTCCACACCATAGTTCAACCTTGGTGGCTTGGAGTAGCCACGTTGGTGTTAAAGCTTCCGCATCCTATAAGCCTTAAGGGCTTGGTTCTAACCTTGGTGAGTTTGCATGCTCACTAGGCTTGGGTAAGGCTTACTTAGTCGCAGAGAAGACTCATAAGTGTCAAGAAGCGTCACTCAGAAGTGTCAAGAAACGTCTAAGGCCGCGCGACCCGTCAGACCTTAACTCTGATATTGAGACAGTTTGGGCTTGAAGGTTCTGAGGGTGTGACATTATATCTCGTATTAAAAATAAAAGGAATCTATCTTAAGATTGTTAGATAAGATGTTAATCCGAGATAAAAATAAAAATAATAAACATATATTATTATTGAATCAAATGAAACAAATAAATAATCAATTAAAATAGAGGAACAAAATTGGTTTACTCGTATGTAGACACAGAATCAGATGAGTAGAATAAGATAAACCAAAAAAGGATTGTTGAGGCATGTATGAACAGTTTCCTTAAGATAAATTCATCCTCTCCTCGGTACTTTGAATAACGTTGGATGTCGGTCTCTCAGGATACAATAACAAACGATCACAATAGTAAGCACAACCGTAGTGATCAATCGAACACAATATTGTCTTTCTCTATCACAGGAAAGAACAAATTTAGAAGGAATTTTCTAAGTGTTTTTCCTATTCCAAAGTTCTAAACTTGTGTAACTTGTGTCTCAAAGTTGTCTATAGAATTTGTGCCTTAACTAGCCTATTTATAGAGGATGAAATGGATTGAAGGGTTAAGACCTTTCGATGAAATGACTTAACCTTTCGATTAAAGGACGTATCCTTTTGATGAAAGGGCTTAACATTTTTCTTGAAATGATCTAATCTTTTCATGAAGATAATTGTTGAATAGGTATGATTGAATGAGTGTAACTTTAAACAACAACAACAACAACAACAAAACCCAATTCCCATATGTATGGGGTAAGGGGGAGGTAGGGTAGTAGGCTACCCCCAACGCCAGGTTGAGAGTAGCTTCCGTGGAAGACCTCCGGCAGTCAGAAAAATTAAAAATTTAGATAAAATGCAATGCATGTATAAATAAATACATAAATACATAGCTAAACAGTATTCATATGCAGTCATTAAAACCATATGTGCGTCTGTAACGGGAATTAATTCCTGCATAATAATCCCTGCGAAAGAATCTCTGCATATAGACAGAAACATAAGATCCGGCTAAATTTAAAAGAGGAAACATGAAGAGAATGATTTATTATTAATTAGTTGTAAATAGCATCAATTCATTCAATAATTTTTCCAACATATATACGGGTATATAATTCTTAGAAGGGTTTTTGGAGAAAATGTTAGTCCACATTACATGAACCATTTGGCGTCAATATTTTGGGTATGGTTAGTAGTGTTTTATGTGGATGTGTGGTACTGGGAAATGCCTAAGGGTTTCAATGTTCTAAAGAAGTTTTATTTAATATATATTATTGGATTGTTTGGAGATTGTTTAGTTAAAAAGTTTGTGATTATATTATGAATCTCCTCTAGCATTTATATTACGATTTCACGTGTATCAACTGTTCATTAATACTTTGTTATAGGATTATTATTTTTTATATTTTTAAAGAAAAATATGTAGGGTAAAATGTATCCGATTAATAATTTTTTAGAATAATTTCTATTTAAGGAGAGTGTAAAAATAAAATTTTACTTCTAATAGATATTGAATTCACAACTTAAATGAAAAGGGGTATGTCAACTAATTATAAAGTTGCTATTTTTAAATCTCGGAATCTTTATTTTTTATAATGTGAGATTATTATATCATCTTTTTAAAATGTGAAAATTTTTAATTTAATTTCATGAAGTATTTATCACGAGTCAAAGTCGATTTTATTTATTTTTGAACTCTAAGATCTCTTTCTTCTTTGAACCTGCTTCCTATACTTCATATTTTTATGTAATGAAAATGTCAGTAGTTTAACATTATTATTTTATATAAATATATAAAAAAATAAATTTTACTTGAAAATATAAAAAAATAATTAAAAATTACTTTAAATTGAACGATTATAAAATTTGAAAGAAATAAAACTTTTAGATTGAATCAACTCAAACCTATAAACACGCCCAGGAAGAGCTTGTTCTCGTCTCGCCCAACCTGCCTGCGTAGAACGTTGTAATAATCATCGGTTGCAAAATCCATGAAAATTTGAGGGGGGGGGGAAATGTCAAATTCAACAGAGAGATACCAAAAACTTTGCATCGGAGAATCACTCCCAATAATCTATCGATACCCAATTGCCTGCGAAGAGCTCAGCTTTATTCTCAGAGGCGCTTATGCTAAACTCCCCAAGCAGCTTCAATCCCTCATCTTTCAGCATACCCTTGCCGCCATTCGGTTTCTTCCCGAGTAAGCTCTTCGTTTTTAATTTCCTTTTCAATTCGTTACCCCTAGTCAATTCTGGGTTTTGGGTGTAGTTTGATTAAAGTTGGAAACTTGATTTATATGAATTTTTCTTTTTTGGAATTGGATTCTGGGTGTAACTAATCAAGTTCAAAATTAAAGCGAATCTCCTGTGATTGAATCAAGTTGAACACTTATTTATCATTCATAGACCGTTAATGGAAGGTGTTTTGGAGGAGGAAAAAGGGCTTCAAAATGATTGAGCTTAACCTAATTAATGTCGGTTCCATTGATCGGCACACTCCAATATCCGTAAAGCATGATATGCATGCTTCATTAGCGTAGCCGGCAGCCATGGTTCGAGTGGTAAGATTGTTATATGTTGGCACCAAATATCAGGGTAACACATACATACATGCTTCATTGGCATAATTTTTTGTTACGGTTTGATTTCTATCGATTTCAGATTTAATCTGTTTTTTAGTAATCAAAAGTGGGGAGAAGCGGAGACATTGATTATAAACGACTGCTTTGAATCATAGTTGATTAGATCGGAATATTGGCCTTGGGTTGATTACTACATCCATGCATGCATAATGGTTCATCATGTTAAGAATTCATTTTTGTTGGTATTGGGTGCACAATTAAATGATAGATGAGACCGCTTCAAAATGTCATTTGATTGAACAGGAACTTTTATGTTTTGGTTGATTATTACCTCTCACCATTCATACACGGTTCAGACTTTATCATGAATGTTATTTTAAATGTAGAATGCAGACTGGTAGCGCTGCTTCAGCAGCTCATCTCCTACTTCAGAGTGCAGAAGCTGCCTTTCCAAAACAGAAGAAGAGCTTGGTTGTTGCGGAGTTTAAGCAGGCAAAGGTTGCTCATAAAAGGCGCGGTAAAGCACACAAGGAAGACAAAGGTAAACTTTCGAAATAGGTCCCCTTCGAAATCTTTGGCCCTTAGCCAAATTGAATTTGAAACTAATCATACAGTTAATCAAATATCTGTTTTTGTCTAGTTACTTATCATATATTATCTCCTTATGTATTCCAGGTCCGGCACAATTGCCTCAAGATGTTCTCGTTCACATATTCCGTTTACTAGATTTGCAATCTTTAATCTCTGCAGGACTAGTCTGTTGGTAAGTTTTCCTCCCTTTTCAATGATCGTGTTGCAGCGATTATCTTCTAATTAATAGATTAAAGATGTAATAGTTAGCAGTTTGCATCCGCCCCTGATTCCCTTGAATCTTTTGTTGCTTATGTTACTGACTTTTGATTGCTCTATGAAGGTCATGGAATTTTGCGGCAAATGATAACCATATATGGGAATTGCATTATACAATATTCTTTAGCAGGTTAGTAAACGAGGATCATACATATCCGGAGGAGAGTGTGATTTCGAGGGCCAGTATTGATTGGAAAGAGACCTTTAAAAGAGCATATAAAGGTTCGCATTATAGGGGATATCTCCTTTTATCCCTAAACGCCTTTTTAATGCGCCACGCCATATGCGTTATAAATGTTATACACTTGCACACCATCTTTTTCGTCTTACCGTTGTTTGAAATGCCAGGCACTCATTCAAAGAAATTTATGTCCGGTAGGGGATATTGCGGGCATTGCGACACAATAGTTTGGCTCAAGAATTTAAAATGCTCTAATGGCCGATGTGAGCTGAAAAACGAAAGCCCGCGGATTAAGCCTATTTCACCCTATGAGGTATTTGTAATGTCAGTTGCTGCTTTTAGGCTCTCATTTCATGTGCTCTAAAGAGTCGCACACGTTTCAGGTTGTCGCCTATGTAACGGATGGATATATGTCGGAGATGTCTTCGTCGGATAGTGATAGCGAGTCAGACGAAGAGCTCGTTTCCAGATTATGGGCGTATCCGAGAGACATACGTAGAATTGAGAAAACACCTATTGTTTACAAGTAGTTCTGTGGAATCTTTTTGTAAACGAAGATGGTGTATAGAAATGAGCAGTTTCCTTGATCCTTCTACCCCCCATATAATTGATCTGCTTCTACTGGAGAAGGTAACTCTATGTAAATATCATTTTGTTTAGGTCATAGTCACACACAATAAATTTTATCTAATAAAAATGATTGTGATCTTGGGTTTAGACGAACCGTTAGAAATCAATATTCTTCCATTTGGTTTGGCTTGTTTATTTTCATTTTAACATAATCGGTTTGATTTTGATTCGGTTCGATTCGAGGTATCAATTTATCATATTTATTTAGTTTATTTGCATTTTTTGTATCGGTTAAAAGATCAAATTAGGGCTGACCTTTTAGGATTGGCTCACATGAGGGTAGGGGTGAGCAATAAAACCCCAAAATGAAAATGAATCGTAGTATTTAGATATGTTATGATTCACAAGTAGGGGTAAACGAGTCGAGCTCGAGTATTGTTAAAACATCCTTTGAAAACCATATTCAATGAGTATATCAGCAACTAAAACATAAAAGTTGAAACCGGGAGACTCAAAGATGATGATCGGTCACAATAAAAAGAACAGAAAATTTGCTTTCAGCAAAAAGAAAAGAAAATCCTCTTATATCGTCTAATCTCTTTTCTTCCCTTTATTTATATTAGCCATAACCTTCTTCTCTAATATTACATACTGCTTCTTGATCTCGATCATTGCTTTCTCAGCATGTGCATCCACCTTGTCCTCGTATTTCTCGTACAACACCGGCACGGTGTATAGCAGAAGAAACACTGTGTCATGTAAGTCTCATCAAATCCAGATGTATTTCGAGTGTTGGAAAAAGAAAACCAAATTCCTTACCGACGTAGACCAATGTCAAGAAGTTAAAACAGCTCCCCAGAACTGACACAAACCATAATCCAGCAACGGCCTAGAGCAGCAAAGCAAAATACATATATAGTGAGTCGAAAACCTAGCAAAATATGTGCTGAATACGAATTCTTTACAAGAAAAGAAGAGTTGAGGCAAAATCGACATTAATCAACTTCATCCAAGAGATGGGGTTTTTCTTTGGTTTTTAGGATAAAGCAGTTTTTAATCTCTAAACTTCAATTTTGTTCCTGAATTTTATATTTTTCTCATTTTTAGTCCTTTTGATAAGGTGATATTCTAATATCGTTACAATAATACAATATAGAAATGTCATGTCATCAAACTGACAAAAAAAACCAAATTTAGGGCTAATATGGACCAAAGTAGGTTTAAGGACCAAATTGAAAAGAAAAAACAAATTCAAAGACTAGAGTTACTCTATCCCTTGGGTTTTTAGCAATAGCCTAGAAAAACATAGCAGCTAAGCAAAGTACCTAGTGAGTTGAAAACATAGCACAAGTTGGATTCAAAGTGAGTGTGGGTATAGGTATAAATCTAACATGAACATGCTTAATATATTCTAGTTCTATATTATTTAAGAATCATAATATATTATTCATATTCAAATATGCACGGAAAACAGTTATTTTATGAGAAATGAAGAGTTAAAAGATCGTAATCAAATTCGTGCTATAGATGGATTTTTCTTTATTTGTTTTAACAAAAAATGTAATGATTAACATGCCCGTCGCCGTCGTTTAATATAAGTAGTTAACTAGAAGAAAGTAAGGAGGGGCATTAATGTTAACATACACCGATAAACGTCTTCAAATCTTTGCCGGTTGCAATGGTCCGCACAACATCACAGCTCGGTTAATTTCAGATAATAGACAAGATGCAGCTTTAAGGAGACACTTCTCAGAGATCACAGCTTCTGGAATGGTCGGTGGGGAACTTCGAATGAACAAGGTTGATAAAGTTACTATTAAGATTTCATTCACACAATCATATAAAGAGAATGGTTGAAGAACCTTACTTGTTGATGAAATGTGAAGCATTGGACCATAGGAAAAGGACTGATAAAGAGAGTATCAATATGTGGCAAACCAGAGTGATTAAATGGTAATCAATAACTTCAAAGAGAAACCAAAACGCTGTTACGCCACCAAGCACGGCTCCAGAAACTCTCTTGTTCCTCCACAGAAGAATATCAGCAGCTGCAGATCATCATTGAATGACCATAAAAGACGATATCAAACGATAGAAAAATAATAATCAATGCTTTAATTGAGTAATGTCACATGATTCTTCTACTCATAATATCATTCACAACTCTCAATTTTTTTAAAAAAGTTGCATCAAAATGAAGGCGATTAAGTTGAAATCCTTACTTTCGTAACTGGACTCAATCAAACAGAAGAACGAAGCAAGATTCTGGATCTAAGTCTAACCGAAATAAATTACATTAGCATTCACAACTCACGAATTACATAAACAGGAAAAAATGCATTAAAATGAAGGCAGTAGTATTGAAATCGTGAATTTGAAAGATTTCGTATCTGGACTCAATCAAAAGAGAGAGGGGAAGCAGGATTATGATTAGTAATTCTTTGATTTAAATATCAAATTACGAAATCAATTAGTAAAACAGAGCATGCCATATAATACTGATTTAATAAAAATTAATTCGCAGAATCAACATACACATATAAACGATAAATCATATGAAATAGTTTTACGTTTTCCAGCGCCTAAGACTTGATGAAGGGGCTTCTCTCTGCCGAAGAGGCGATAAACCTTGGACTTGAAAGGGAGTTTGTGGCCGTGAGAACGCTTGTCGTCGTCGGAATCGGAGGAAGATGAGGTGGAAGAGGACTTGCGGTGGATCTTCTCGGAGATCTTATCGGCGATCTCCTCCATCTTCGACTCGATGAGCTCCGCCATTGGATGCAATGTGCGGTTGGTTTCAAAGGATAGGAAGGCGTAAACCGAGGAGTTTAAATTTGTAGGTTCCGGAGGGGGAATGGTGATCCGAAGCTAAGGTCTTACGAGTGTAACGAAAAATGAGGGACTTGCTAATTTCTTGCTTCGGTTATTTATTCTCTGGCCTCCCATTCGTTTCCCGTTATAAAAATCTCTTTCTTGTTGACCTAATCCTGGCTCGACCTTTCTTGATCCGGTCTCCCCATCCTTGTCCCCCTATATGCAAACGTCACGTTACTAACTTCTCACTTGAAGTCACCGAAATTCGTGTTCCTCACCAAGAATCGCGTGTTCATTCTCAGGTCAAACAAACGAAGGGGAAACTTCGGTCCCAACAATAAAGGCGTCATCGACAAATGATCCTGATCGAACATGGAACTTCGGGTTGTTCGTATGCATGACCGTTAACACTATAATTCCGGTCTGGAACATCCAAACAGTCATCAGACCTCGAGGAGCAACCTCAAGAATCGAAAGATTCGACCTCGAAATGATCATTCGAGCTCAATGGAAAGAATCTTGCTATACTTGCAGCTCTTATGGTCATTATTGTACTGATTTTAGTTTTATCAGCACTGCTATTCACCTCCAGACATCCAAAGTTTCGAATGCGCTCGGTTGTGATCGAGAGTCAACTGTAGTACCTCTCTGAACCTTTGTTCAACATGAGATTAGTTGCTCAAAAGACCGTCTAGAACCCGAATTTTGGCTACTTCAGATATGGAAACACAAAAACCAGTGTTCGTTTCGCCTACACAGGGGCAAACAAGTTGGGTTGGCTTTGCTCACAATGACAAGAGTCGGGGGATTAACAACAAAAATATAAATGCAGTACTGAACTTGATCAATGTAAGAAATGATACAAATTTCAGAAGCAACCTCAGGTCCGAAGATTTTACATTTACCGCTCGGTCGAAGATGGAAGGTAAGGTGCATTTGATGTCTTTGGGGAAACGGAGGAAGGTGAACGGCCGGAGGCGATCTGCAGAAATGAACTGAACCGTTACAGTTAATTTGTAATGTAACCATGTACTGTATTTTTCATGCCTTCATTTCTGCCTGCTTCCATGACTCAAAAAGCTTGGCCACAGCAATCCAAAAGGAACCTCCCTCACTCACCGCCACCAGGCTGCTGCATTTTTCATATCTATAATCCGCTCCCTAACCGGAGTCACCTTTTTTCGACTCCATCAATTCCTTGACTCGTTTCTCCACCTCAGTCGAGCACACCAACTCAATTTCCAACTCCTCCATCGGTAAAGCAATCTTCAATTTTCCAACATCAACACCCTATGTACCTTTGCTCCGCACCGTAAAGTTCATTGAGCAATAAAAATAAAAAGTATGATTTTTGGTATCCAATTTTAATACTTTATAGTACGGTAGTTCTTTCATGATTGTTTATTTTGTTAATGTAGATAATTTCTAAAAATCATATATACATCTTTTAAGAAAAGAAATACTTTTCATACACAAGAAAGCTACCATTCGAAGGGAATTGTTGATTTCAAGCAATTAAGCCAGTTGCTTCATCGAATCTTTTATTATCTCATAAACAAGAAAGCTCCTGTTTTGAATAAGCAGCTGATTCGATTTTGCAAGGAATTACTTTCCATGCTATTGGTGTTCGTGTTTTGCAAGACGGCCAACAGGGTCATTAACAGAAACGAAGCAACAACACTTTTGGAACTAACATGTTCAAGTCATTTTGCAATTCCAACTCTTTCAAAGAAGGTATATATACATTCAAATTCCTATAATAAAACTGGGTCTTCCACACCACTTATGCCAAATACTTTGGAGACTAGAGTGGACAACGCACGCCACTTTCTTCAACGAAATGCCACAAAAAAGACGTCGTGTCTTGGACTGGGATGCTAATATCTTGGCAATGCCCGAATGAGTTTACAACGTCCAGTGTGTTGCGTTCACGTTCGACTTTGAGGATGGGACTTTCATTCAAGGTTATATGATTAAGCAAGGGATGGATCAGAACCTGGTTATGGTCAGCGGTTTGATTGATTTTTACTCCAAAATTGATTGAATAAGTGAAGCTTCTAACTTGTTTATTGATATGGGAAATTGTAATACTGTTTCTTGGACAATGATGATCTCTTCATGTCTTGAAGATTAGAACTTGGGTAACAGGTTCACTCAAAGGTGGCACAGTGGCTGATTTGGAGGATGATGGTTCGGTTGGAAATGCTCTTGTCAACATGTATGTCAAATGCTTCGATAAAGCCGATGATGCGTTGAGAGTATTTAGAAGAATAAGCTTACCAAATCTTATCTTGTCGACCTCTTTGATTGCAGGTTATCCTTTGATCTACAAGACATTATTGCACGCCTGCAAAGCGCATAGAAATATACCTCTAGTCGAAGATATGGCAAAACGAGGCAACTCAACCCATCAGGTCGAGCATTCTATATACTGCTAGTAAACTTGTATGAGGACTCCAGTTAACGTGACCTAGTGGAGAGGACACTCAAGGTGATGAGAGAAAAACAATCGAGGAAAGAATCCTAGCCAGAGCTGGGTGGAGATTAGGAACGAAGTTCACCTCTTTGTTGCAGGGGAAAGATCACATCCTCAGACAAATGAAATTTATAAGAAAATAGATTCGATCAAGGTCGTGTTTAAATCATCGAATAACGTCTAGCTAACGAATAATAAATGATAAATTTGTATAAATTTCTTAAGGATGGAGAAAAATAGCTGAGAGGACCCAAGCATTAATATTATTAGCAGCTGAATGGTTCTAGCTTTTGTCTTTAGGGTTTAAGTTATGTTCCATCAAAGAACAGGCACAATACGAGATTGAAAAAAACAAAAACAAAGGGTGATTAGAAAAATGCAATCTTCGACTTTGAAAACATAAGTGTCCATAGCCAAAATGCCTTCAGCATGCTTACTCCTTTGTCTGTGGCTCCCCCGAGGTGATTTTAGGATCATCCTTTTTAGAAAGGGCTTCGAGCGTCTTGTAGAACTCCTCCGGGAGAGGACCGGGACGGTGCAGTGGAACATGCTTGGGAACTGGAGCATCATTTTCGATAACCTCGCATTCATAGTCATCGGGAACACCCCAAGGATCCCACTCTGCAACCAACATGATATAGAATGGCATGTCATAATTCGGAAAATGCAAAGCATCAGAAGTTTTCTAGCAATTTTACTTCATATAAAGACTTGCAGCTAGCAGCAGAGGAAGACTTTACTAGACTCTAGAGAACAGATTAAAGCTCATCAAACAGCTGTGAGAGTGCCAACCAACATAATAACATTAACAAAAAAAAAACTGCCACAGAGTAGACCAGAAACATTGACGTCTGCAACTAAAAATAAATGCATCGATAAATTACAAATACGAGTTACCAGTTAACTACCTATATGCTCGGGACAACTAAAACAACTACCGGGCCTTCAAAGGTGAAGGATAAGTGATGCTAGACCAGAAGAACAACACGCATTAACATCAGTCTCAATGTCATTTAAATAAAGCAAGTTTCGAAGATTGAGGTAATCAGTAAACATTCTCATTTCACTGGCCACCGCATACATAAAAATGATTAACTAATTTAGATTAGTTAACCTTATAGAAAAAAGATGAATATTGGTCTCAATGTCAATGCAAATATGCAAGTATAATATATCCCTTTCCAAAAGCCGGCAACCATTTCGATTTTACCCACCAACCTATTATTCTCAGTCGATACAAAGTAGATTTCTATAATACTTTCACCGTCAAATTCATTCAAAATTCTATGCACATTTTCGATTATGATTAAGCAATTCTAATACCTTCTTATTGACAAAATTTATCATTTCTCATTGGCAGCCGTAGTTGAACAAAGCAATAACCAGCTCTAATTTAACCAAATTTGCATGAAGGAAGACTAAACCAACCCTGAACAAAGGACGAACCCTAAAATGACATAATAATTAAAACAAAATTTTAAATAAGGGGAAAAAAAGAAAGAGATGGAATGGGTACGAACCGATCATCTTCCCGATAAGAGTGAGCTCGTCGCGCGCTTCCTCAATGAGCTCCTCCACCTGGCCACATCCTAGACGCTTCTCGATCATTTCCCAGTCTTCTTCCTCTTGGCAGGCCTTCAGACGGTGGCGCGTGAAGCTCTCCACGGCCTTACGGTAGCCCTCGTCTTCGGGTACTGCCTGGATCTCCTTAAGGGTCTTGTTGTAGAGCCCGATCAAGACTTCCCTGGCGTTGGGGACAACGTATAACCCAACGATCCCCGTTGTCTCTTTCACCTTCGCCAACAACGGCCGCGCAACCAATCGCAGGAACATTTTTCAGCTTTGTCTATTTCACCTTCGGACTCTGGCGGCGCACTGTATTACTTCTCTGGCCTCAGACGTTTTTTTCTTCTGTTGCGATTAACAGAGAACCGAGCTCGGAGATTAAGAGAATGTAATTGAGTTGGGTGGTCGTTGAATCCTGTGTGGCGAATTCATAGGAAGAACGAATCTCGGCCGTTATCTTGTGGGTCGAAGATGACGGGTCTTTTGTAGGCTTTTGTTTTTGAAGACTCTCTTGGGCCATGACTAGCCCATAATGATGAAAAAAGAAAATAAATAAGTTCATCATGGTTTTTGTAATATTTAATTTAGATTAATGGTTATTAAATTTATTAAACTATTAAAACTTGGTTCAAGTACTAATAAATTGGGAAAAGTACATCAATAGTGTCTGTACTATGCTAAAATGATCATTTTAGTCTAAATTTATCAGATAATTACAAAATGGTCTTAAAGTTGTCAAACTGTTATGAAATAATCATTAAATTTATTGAACTTTTACAATTAAATATAGCATCATAATTTCCATTTTATAACAGTTTGATATGTTTAATTTTGTAACTTTTAAAAGTTTAGTGACCGAAGCAATTATTTTAGCATAATTTTGAAACTTTTAAAGTTTTGTAACTTTTACGTATACAACTTTACCTCGAATTCACTTTGTTTATTGCACAAAGAAACGCAAAGGATGCCCTTAGGTCACATTCAGCCATTAGGTAACTTTACTAAGATAAGAATCGCAAAGGATGCCCTTAGGTCACATTTGGCCATTAGGTAACTTTACTAAGATAAGAATCGCAAAGGATGCCCTTAGGTCACATTCGTTCATCATACACATTCTTTTTAGAGTATTTCATAATTTATTGCACTCAACATTCTTTGAAGCTTAAAGCTCAAAATAGAATTGGAATAATAATAACTTTGTCCGTGACGAATGGAATGAGATTTAGTTTTGTCGGTAAAGGTTCGAGATCATCGACGTGTTTGTTTAAACTTGAATATTATCAAGTATATTTAAATTTCAATTCTAATTTAAATATTATTATGTACTACTCATATCTATATATATTCTAATTATTAATTGAATTATTTATATATTATTGATTAAAATTATAATTTAATTTATATATTATTAGTTATTAGTTATGATTGTAGTTATACAAATATATTTTAAAATACAAATCTCGACCCTCCATATCGGCCTCAGTTCTCCCTTTTCTTTTTGTATTATTAAAATAATTTTAGAGTTAATCCAAATAAAACAAGTTTGACTAACTCTTAAAATTATTTATTAAAATAATATTTGACCTTGGAAGCCACTTATTACCAAAATCCACCCTTTGTGAACTGAGAGGAAAGGAATCTTGGCTTTTGTCCCTTGATAAAGGTCGTCCTTTTCCCACCCCGACCGAACCGGACACGGTCTGAACTCGCAATTCCAGCTCTTATCATGTTTCAACCTTACTGGACAGATTCTTATCAGTTTGTGGTTTATCTTTTATAATAATTAATTCAGCGATAATTATATAAATATATTGATTATTATCGTAATTAATTTTTACAAAAAATCGTAATTTTAATTATATATTATGTCAATTATTTGTAGATATAATTATATAAATATCTTAAGATTGTAATTATAGTTTCATAAATTACAATATTCATAATTTTTAAATTTTCATATCTTTTTGTTAATTATATGTTTAGTCAAGGAGGTCTGCCAGGTGCTAATTTTATTGTTTCAATTATTGTTGTAGCAAGTCTTTGATGTTAGTTGATTCGTTCAAACATTTTTATTCACATATATATTATTAATAATGAATTAATTAATATCTCATGATGAGTAACTATATTTTTTAAAATATTTAAGATTTTATATTTTCTTATAAGATTTACTGATAATCTTAATATAAAAAATTATGTGGTAATGATAATATATTAAAGGTATAATATATTGATGGCCAATGATTTTTAAGGACATTTATATTTTGGTCATTGAACTTTTAAAATTTATATTACAAGCATTTAATTTTTATTGTGCTTTTATAACAAGCATTGTCTTTAAAAAATGGATGTCCCTTGTTTATATGGGGTAAGGGGGAGGTAAGATAGTAGACTGCCCCACTAGGTGAGAGCAGCTTCCGTAGGAGACCTAAATTATGAAATGCCCTCCATGGGACTCAATCCCATTTGTTGTTAAAAAAATGATGTGGTAAGTTAAAAAAATATAATCTTATTCTTCCAAATGGACAATCATCGATCTTTTTATCATCATTTTTGTCGTCATTTAATGATTTATTTGATCGAAATGATCATCGAATTACTCCTATTGTTAGTTTCTTTATTTTATTTGATTCAAGTTAACGGAAAAAACCCTTTAATCTCCTCAAATCTCAATCAACACTGAAAGCCAAAATTTTCTAACTCATTATTGTCTACCGTCATATAGCTTTAAACCAAAATATGTTAATTTCTCGCAAAACAAAACATTCCCATCTTTAGGATTGATCGACACATGCTTCATTTATTGACAACTCTTTAAGGTCGAATCGGATAATATTATTTTTCTCTTATATCATTATTATTTTTCTGTTTTGGTGTTGTTTACTGTTATTGTTATAGACAATTGCGGTTGTGGATAGGTATTGAAAAAACATCGACTATGTAGTTGCATGTCATACGAGCGGTAACGGCCAATTTAGAAGAAGTTTAAGGTATTGTTAGGTTTTTTAGCATGTTAGATCAATTTTTCCTAACAACAACTAACAACAAAGAGTGTAATAAAAGTTTAATATGATAGTGTGACTTTTAAAATTGTAATGACCAAAGTGAAAATATCCTAAAAATTAATGACTATTTATGTAGTTTACCCATATATTAAATATAAAATTCGTTGTTAGGCTTTTAAAGAAAATATGACAATGCACGTACATTCTTTAAATATAATTATTTTAATCCGAATCTTTTAGGGATATCAACATTTTCTTATATTACTAAATAATTTCTTTTATCACTAATATCACTCAATGAGTTTTAACATACATAAAATTAAAAATCATATTAATTTTAGTGATTTATATAATCATATTAATTCATTTTTAACTATATTAAACGTATGAATATATATAGTTTTATATATTTATCCTCTTTTTTATTATTTAATAAAAATAATCAAAACCATAAATATTTTCTTATTCATAAATTGTTTCTATTTTATATGATTTATTAGTACATAAAATAGATTTTATGATTGTACTTACAAAATATGCTTTATTTTCCTTTTTTATCTTGCTAGCGAGAAATTATTAAATGAAAATCAAATTACATAAACTCTAGGTATTCTTAATCTCTCTATACCCAACGGATCCAACCCCCAAAAAATGTAGTGAACTAAAAAACGACGATAATAAAAATAAGTCTAGTATCCACCGCTGGAGGCGGCGCCGGTGGCAGTAGAGTTATCCGTGCTCCAAGACGAGAAGTTATCACCAAAGATCAGGCTTCGTCCTACTCCACTACCAGCACTTCCAACGAGTTCTCCCAAACCCTCAAAGAGATCTTCATCTACATGCACGTTGGGGATCAAAAGATCGTCGTCGTATTCATCGCTTTCACTTTCAAGAGCCATGCCTACTCTTTCATCCTCACCGGCGTTTTGCACGGCGACAGTGGCGTCTTCAGGCGCCGAAAGTGGGGTCGTGGGAGAGATGGGAGAGAGGCTCGTGGCGGATTGAGGAGAGGAGCAAGAAGCAGTGTGGTGGTGGCAGCGGCATTTTGAACAGTTGAAACCTTGTCCGAGTACTTCCGGCGAGAGAGTTCCGGTGAGTCGGCTTGGGGTGCGTGTGTTCGCCGGTGTAGGTAACGATAAAGATGTTGGGATCCGTATTGCTACGCTCCAATTGTTTCCTCGCCGAACACCCTTTCGAGCTACTGCACCTGTAGTAGTTCCTGAAAAAACCAAAATTCATCTTTAATTACACATTCATTGAATAAAGAAGAAAAGTAAAATTATAAGAATTTATCACTAAAACAGAATCTAATTGAAACCTTCATTGAGTCACTTTACCTTGGATACGGAGAGCCTTTGATGGGTTTCTGTCCGTATTTACGCCATGCCCAAGGATCCGATAACAAATTATCTGCAATTACATGGCATACGGTTCTTCAGCTGATTCTTTCTGTAAAAACAAAGGATTTCAGCTGAGAAAATACTGGAAAACAGCATCGATATTTTGGAAAACAAGTGGCGTTTACCTCTTTCTTGATCTTGGTGTCTGAGCCTGTGGTTGAACTCGTTGTTGAACCTCCTGCGACTGTGGTTTTTGCTGCTGCTGTTGATTCCCAAAGCCGCCGAAAGTGAAATAGGAGAGGAGGTTGGAGGTCAACGGGGAGCCAACCCCAACGGCGGTGGTTGTGGACTGTTCTTGCAGCCTTTGACGGTGATGATGATGAAGTTGGCCACTAAAACCTCCGTGGGCAGAACTCGAAGAACATGGATCCATGCCTTGCTTAGTGGTGATTATAGTGGTGGGGTCGATTTTCGGCAAAAAGGACATGTAAGAATCATGCAGGGAAACCGCTTTTAAATGTAAAGGGTCGTCTTCTTCCTCGAACGTCAACGAGGCTAAGCAAGCCAAAGGATCTTCCCTTGAACTACCGCAATTTTGATTGTTGTTGTTGTTGCTGCTGCTGCTTTCAACGGCGGCATATCTACTGGTATTGGCGGCGGCCGCGTGCAACTCCTTACAACGGCATAGAGATCCCAATCCTCGGCCATCTTTTTTGATGAAATTTCGAACTCCGAAATCTCAGATGCGTTTTCCTTATACGCAAATGGGAAGAAAAGTAAGGAGGCGACGCAGAAAGAACAGCGTTGACTTTCGTTTTTTGGTGTGAAACAGAGAGAGGATCGGCGGTGCACTGACTTGGTCATTGTTAATATTTATACAGGACAAAATTAAATAGAAATGTCAAATGCGTACTCCATTCATTTCATGAAAGGGAAAGAAAATTTTCGGTCTAAATCTGAATTGTATCCTTCTAATATACAAAATGAGAAGTTTAATCCCTCTATTTTAATTTATCATAATTCAATTCTTTGATCTTGAACGGATGATCATTGCTACTTTGTTGGATATAAAATTGATGAACTACTGTTTTTCATTGATTCTTTACTTGTAAAATGTTGGATTGCCGATTAATTATCACCTATTTAGAACAACATAATAATTTTCAGCATATAAATACTAAATTTTAATAAATTAAAACAAAAGGGACTAAATTCTACTGAGAAAAAATAGTTGATTTTTTTTCTTTATGAGTTTTAATTTCCACTTTAGCTTTTTCTTTGACTTCGTGAATTTGTCAACGGAGCAGAACAATTGGGCAATTGTAACGACGATGCTTCCAATTTGCTTATTTAAATTAGGTGATCAAATATTCAGAGTGTAATTATTTAAATTTAAAATAATAAAATATTTATTAAATATTTAATTTAAAAAGTTGAATGAAAAATCTAATTTATTTAAATTTAATAAGCTAAGAACTTAGAATACCATGAAACCAAATTTTTAATATAAAAAACGAAAATCTTTCCCACTTTCCATAAACCTTTGTCCCCGGTTACAACTCTTCATCGGTAGGGATGAAGTAAAAAAAAAATATTTTGGAGTTTAGCATAAAGTTTAAAATGTGAGTTAAAATTATAAATTACGTGTTAAAATAGGTTAAAAAATTATCAATGTTTAGAAGATGCCAAAGTTGGAAATTTTTCTATCTAATAAATAGTTAAAAGGGGTTGAACTGAAAAGTTTAAGCTTAAGGGGACTAAACATGGAATTGGCCCATTCAACAAAGGGGTCGATGCCTTTCACGTTCAAATATTAGGCAATAATATAATAATAATTCTTTATTTAATAAACGAAAAGTTTTAATCTAAATTGAAGTTTGAATTAGTTCGGATTTATCATTTTTTTTCTTTCAAATGTAATTAACTATTCTTTGTGATTCTCCTTGTTAATTTAAATATATATATTTAATGAACTAAAAGCTTAATTTAATTGAATAAAACTTTTAATTACCAATTATAAAAATGCAACAACTATTATAAACTAAGGTGATTACAAAGTAATATATGTTCTAAATACTCTCAACCATTTGACAATGAATGTTTAATCACCCTTACAGTCGCTGGTACTCGAGCTCATGACCTCTATGAGCAACAATAATTCCTTTAACTACCGAGAAAATTGGTTCGTGCTATAATCAAAAAGAATTAAAAGTAATCGAACCAACAAAATTGATCGACTAAATGTTAATTTATCTAGTTCTAAAATTAAAAGAGACCTAAAAAATGATTATACTAAAAAAACAGAGAGCTGCAATCTAATTAACCTGATATCAAAATTAAAAGACCTAAAAAGGAAATAAATTTAAAATTTTAAAGATAGTATTTAGTTTATCTAATTTTAAAATTAAGAGAAACTAAAACAATTGAAACCAATTGTTTTTGGCATGACACCTTCCTCAATACAATTAGCTTAACCCATGTTTTCCCTAAGAGGCACCTCAAATTGTTGCTTCAATCGAGGTTGCAAATTACTGTGTCCGTTGATTTTTTTTTTAAATTACATAAACGGAAACTCATATTAATGCAAGAAAACAATATTTAATTTGATTTTCCATAATGGTTAAAACAATTTGGTAAATATTGAAATTATGCATTTAATAACAGAATTTCAGGAAATTTAGACGCATAATGGTAGGTGCTGTCCCCCTTGTTACTGTGCATTTAGATTCAATCCATTTTAGCAACCCAGACAATGGTGGCAGCCTCTACATTAAAGTTCTAAGAAATATTTCAACGAGTTGTTCCTATAATTCTTAGCTTAAAATAGGGTAGCCTATTGCCTAGTGGTATATAGAGCTAGGGATGGCAAAGGGTCGGGTTCGGGTCGGGTATTGGTCCCCCGTTCCGTCCCCGTTTAAAAAACTCGTACCCGTCTCCGCTTAAAAAACTACGGGGATTTAAACGGGGATCTCCATCAGGTAATCGGGGAAAACCGCGGGGAAACGGATATCCCCGTTTAGCATAAACGGTTATTTAAACGGGTTTCGGGCCGGGTATCGGGCTGGGTATATATATTTAAATTAAATATATAAATATTATATATATATATATTTAAATTAAATTTATTAATATTATATATATATATATATATAAAAAATAAATTTTTTTAATATTTATCGGGCCGGGTATCAGGCCAGATAATCCGGGCGGGGATTACTAAACCCGTCCCGTCCCCGTCCCGTTTAACATAAACGATTTTTCCTCGTCCCCATCCCCATCCCCATTTAGCATAAACGGTTTTTCTCTGTCCCCGCTTAATTCAATTTTCGATTTTCCCCGTCGGGGTTCAAGTTTTTTTTGCCATCCCTATATAGAGCATGCGTGCAATTCATTAAATGGCTCATAAATCATGCATTTTTGTTCATCACATATTTTTCTCGTATTTTTTTTAATAGTTTAGACTAATTATAATATAATATTTATTCAGTATATTTTTAAATTATTAATAATATATACATATCTTGTAGATACAAATATTTGAACCTAAATTCTTTAGATATTAAAATCATTTTATGAATTCATTTATCATGTAAATTAAATAATAAGAAGTAAATAAATCTTATGTTAATTAGATGTTGGTTCAAGTTTCGTGTTTATTTTTCTTCTTGATTTATTCTTTTTTATAAAATAATGATATGTTTCACATCTTTATAAAGAGAAAGAAATAAAATTATTTAAAAATGATACTTGTGCTGTTATTAGGAAAGAGAAAAATAATATTAAAAATATATATTATGATGAAATATTAGAATAAAAAATAACTACTTAATTAAAATATAAATATAAAAATTAATAAGGTATTAAGTAAATAATATATCTAAAAACACTGGAAAAATATGTATTTTAAGAACAGAATCGAATACACGCCGCAACCGAACACGAGGGAAACAAATGAATAGGCAGATGATGTACGTGTACCGCCAGTTTTACAGTGCAGTTCTCAAACTTGGAGTCCGAGCTGCAAAAATTGCTTCGTTTTTGCTTCTTAAGCAATAGTCGTGCAGGCCACTCTCCTAACGGCGCGTGCAAAAACTAAGAATTTTAGAAGCGGATCTACCGACTAATCACGCCCTGATAGTTACGTTGTACGCCATCCTAATATACAGTTAAAAAAATATATTATAAGAAATGTTAATATTTTTTAATTTTTTTATAAAACACTAACTAAAAATATTATTTATTCTACCAAAAATATTAATTTTACTATCTAATTTTCGATAGAAAAACTAATAAAAAATAACATTTTAGATAGCATTTAATATTAATATTTTTAATATAAAATAATCTTTTATATAATTTTTATCAAAAATATTAATATTTTCGATAATATTTTTTTAACCGTATATTAATTATGCATTACCTTATACGTCCCCTCCTGATTCGAAAAATGGGAATTCAGTGCAAAAGTTGTCCTGCACGCTACAAATCATCCTAATTCGTGCGACTGGTTCACCTCTTTCTCCCGGGGGACGGTAGGCCAATCATGATCGTACGATCAAACCTCACGTGGCATGTTCCGATTGTGATGAGCCCCCCTACAGAAATAAAGAAGAAAAAAAGAGAGGAAATTTTAATGGAACTGTACCTAAATTGCTTGCCTTTTGTGTAACCTTCTTTTATTGAGAGATCTTGGACCGTTTAAAATTTTGTTGGTACTTTTTATTTTTTGCTTAATGCGATGCTTTGTTTAGTTGGAATCTTTGCATTTTAAATTATTGTTATTATTACAAGTCAAATGATATTCTGTATGAAACTTCCTTTGTTTGAAAGAATGTATAAAACTTAAACTTTATTTATTGTTAAAATTTTAAAGAATATTCAATTAATTGAATTAACTTAGGCTGATAGTTTTATATTTTTAGATAAAATTATTGATATGGACTAATTTTTATTGATATGGTATCCACTTGTCATTTACGTTGTTTTTCTAAAGATGAAAGTTTTTTTCCAGTCACTTGAAATTATTTATGACCGAAATCATCATTATCCAACATCTTTTTTAGTCACTCAATATATTAATGAACTCGTCTCATTGTCTTCTATCGCTCTATTAATTTAGATTTTTTTTCTCTTCAAATTTATGAAATTCAAACTTAAAATCCAAAACTTATAAAACCATAGATCACTTTAATACACAATATCCAACATTTAATCAATTAAATCAAGATATATAACTCGTTTCTTAATTTTTTACCTCCTTACTATTGAGATTTTGAAAGAAAGTGTTTCATTGTCCATAAATGAAAAAGAACATGAAATAAAAAAATTCACAAAAAAAAGTTTTGAGATAATTTCATTTATTTTCAAAAGAAAAATATCTAGTCATGACTTAACAATATAATGGTCAAAATGAGAACGAATCAAAAGTGTAGTGGATAAATTGAACTATTTTAAACTTTAACTACCAAAATAAAAGTGAAAAGAAAAGTGAGTGATAAAATATATAATTTACCCTCGTATGACCATCATAACCTTAGATATTACATATCTCAAAGGTTAAATTGGGAAAACTACACCAAAACTCTGCCTTTACGTTTCGGGATTTAGAAAGAAAATAAATTACAAAACCCAAGAGCGCAGCGTTACTATTCATATATATTTATTCCCCCTTTTTTTTTACACAGATTGGCGCCATCGTACACAAAGTCGTCTCTGAAGCAGATCCCGATCTGAAATTCAATTTTCACAGGTTGTATTCATTTTCTTTTGATTTTATGCAAATATGTTGATTTTTGTTTAAATTTTAACAATCACAAATGATTATTCAAATAACA